AAGCAAGTCTGTAGGTATTTTGACCTGAGAATGGCTGAAAGGGTAATCAAAAATTTGAGAGGAAATACGCTTTTTCTTTTCTTGCTTTCATAAGGCAGACACATAGAAAAAACTAATCACACTGTGTCCAGCTTCACATCACATGCAGGTTAGAAATCGATGCTGGGTTTGGCGAACAAGCACATACCATAAAAGATGCAAAAATTGTAATTCCCAAGCCTTGCCTCAGCTTTGGTTGTAGTACGTTATTCACGACAATGGTTTTACAAATTGCTTTTGCTAATTTGGGCATTCCTTAACTTGAGCTGAGGCATGGACAAAGCACTTGTGGATCTGAGTAGCTGCTGTCCTGCTGCTGAAGCAAAAGAGGCTCCAATGGGCCCAGGTATGCCATCTGACTGAAGTTATAACATCCCAGACACCCAGAGTTAAGGGCCAACCTGAGTAGTTGCCAAAAAATGCTCCATGTGCTCTCCCTCAGCTTCCTGTTCAGATTAATGTGCAGCTCAATCATATTCATGTTTATTTAGAAGTAAATTCCACATTGTTCAAAGGATCTTACTGTCAAACATATATATAAATGCAACCAAGGGAGTATTTTGAGTACTCATGTTGAGTACAAAAAAATTTTTTTCTACTGGTAGATACATTTTTATTTTCATCTATTGGAAATATATTATTTGTTGTGTGATCAAGCACATTTCTGTGAACACACAACTTTCTAATTGATATCAAAAATAAGAGCAAGAAACCAAAAACAATTCTCAGAGTTTCCATAGAATGAGGATAATTTCAGAAGCATTTATAATTTTTGCATCATCATGGCATCCGGCCCCATCACTCCTTGGCAAATAGAAAGGGAAGTCATGGAAGCAGTGACAGACTTCGCATTCCTGGGATCCAAGATCACTACAGATGGTGACTTCAGCCATGAAATTAAAAGACGTCTGCTCCTTGGGAGGAAAGCTATGGCAAACCTAGACAGCATAATAAAAAGTAGCAGAGAAAAGAAGAGAAGAGACTGGATTTATACCCCGCCCTTCACTACCCGAAGGTGTCTCAGAGCGGCTTACAAACTCCCTTCCCCTCCACACAACAGACACCCTGTGAGGTGGGTGGGGCTGAGAGAGCTCTTGACAGAAACTGCTCTTTTTCGAGAACAGCTCTTATCAGAACTACGGCTTGCCCAAGGTCATCCAGCCAGGTGCAAGTGGAGGAGTGAGGAATCAAACCCAGTTCTCCCAGATTAGAGTCCGCGCACCTAACCACTACACCAAAGTAACCACTACACCAAAGTAGAGACATCACCCTGCCAACAAAAGTCTGTATAGTCAAGGCAATGGTATTCCCAGTAGTAATGTATGGCTGCGAGAGTTGGGCCATAAGGAAGGCCGAGCACCGAAGAATATATGTGTTTGAATTATGGTGCTGGAGAAGACTCTTGAGTGTCCCTTGGACTGCAAGGAGATCAAATCAGTCAATCCTAAAGGAAATCAACCCTGACTGTTCCCTGGAAGGCAAGATCCTGAAGCTGAAGCTCAAATACTTTGGCCACCAAATGAAAAGGGAGCACTCACTGGAGAAGTCCCTGATGCTGGGAAAGATTGAAGGTAAAAGAAGAAGGGGACGGCAAAGGATGAGATTGTTAGACAGTGCTATCGGAGATTGAGTAAGCTCCAGAGGGCAGTGGAGGACAGAAGGGCCTGGTGTGATGTGGGGTTCCAAAGAGTTGGACTCAACTGTGCAACTGAACAACAACAACATACTTTATATAGCACTGGTGTTATTCATGTGCTGTTTTCTGGGTTCCCAGTAGCCAATGTATCCAAAACGTTTAATCATATTGATAAAATTATACTCTTCCATACAGATAGTTAGGAACAGGAATGGAATTTTACATTCTTAGTTCTCAGTGCAGTGTCTCATAAGAAATACATTCAGAACCTAGACCTGGATAGCCCTGGCAAGCCCGATCTTGTCAGATCTCGGAAGCTAAGCAAGCTAGATGCTTGCAAGTACTTGAATGGGAGACTTCCTTGAAATGTGGGAGGCAGGAGAAGGCTTTATTCAGCCACCTCTCTGAATATCCTCCAGGCCTCGCATAGGGGTCACCATGACATCCAGGTGCACACACACGCACATATAAAAAATACACAAAGAAAAAAAGAAAAGAAAAATACATCCAGACATTTGATGCTGTCTTGGCTTAAGAATCCTTTCTTTCTTTTTTGGTTTTTAAAATATTTATTAAGATCAAGTATAACTTATAACATGTATAATACCTGCAAAACAGTATACAAAAGTCCTGAGAATCCAAAATTACAGACCAGCCAGTTAATCAATTCCCAACTTGCTATGTCATCACACCCAGTAGCCCTTTAATCCTAGATGTGTGCAGTCTAGTTATGATTGTTCACACATTTAAACATGTGTTCTGAGAACCACACCAATATGTAGTTTAAGAACCATTTGATTTTATGTGCTTGGTTCACAACAGAAGTCAATTTTATCTCACAGGGGTACTTCTACTGCACAAGGGAGCCCTCCCTCCTCTGTCATGTTGGCAACCCTTGTATGAGTTGGACATATTGCAAAACATTCACACGTTACTTTGCCACATATCCAGGGGTTAATTTGACCCATGATCCAGGGCTAAGCAACGTGTGATTTATAACCACAATAAAACTCATGTTTCTGAGCATGTTCAGAATCCATTTCCCACATGACCTCCAGCCTGAAAGTGTATCAAAAGAAAGGTCCCGGGTGTTCAATGGGGCCCAATTCTTGGTAAGTGGGAGATTGACTATCCTTTGACAGCTATTAGTGGGAAGAAAAGGGGGGGGGGAGAAGAGACTATCACACACCTGGTCCTAGATCAGTGCAGATTTGCCCTGTCTGCTCTCCTCTTCCCCTTTGCTCAGAGGCCAGAATATTCTCCATGTGTAGGAGGGTTTTTATTTAGATTTTATTTTGTAGAAGGGGTTGTTTGGGTTAGGAGTTCAGTATTCTCTGTGAGATTTTTAATCTGATTTATTCCCCATCTCTCACACCTCTTTTCATAGGTCCATTTATTGTAGGCTTAATGTTTAGATTAAAATGTACTTTTATTTTTTTTACAGCATCTTTTGCATTTTTCAAAAGCTGTGAGCGGAATTTGGGATGCCAGTCAAAAATTAGGATACAAATCTAATAAGTATGCATAGAATTTTAACCCCCAAGCAATGACAGATCAGCTGCAACACCCCTGAAATAGGGGCCACTTAGATATTTTAGACTGATCATATGTCCCCTGGACAGGCTTAAATCCCACCTTCACTCTTACCTTGTAGAAGTGGGCCATGGCAGTGAAAACAGGTTCTGGAGACAGAGCCATCAAGAGAGAGGGACTAGAGGCATAAAAAATCAAGGGACTTGGTGGGGCCGGCATCAGCACTCCCTGAGGCAGGGCAGGATGGGGCCCAGGACCTCTAGTGGGACCCACTGCTGCCAACCCTCCCCCCACCAATTAACCGCCTCTGCGGGTCACCTGAGCACCATTCCCATGCCCACTCATTTCCAAGTTCTCTGGCATTCTTGTTCCAGGCTGCACATGTTGCCCAGCACTTCTGGGGAGGGGTGTGTGTGGGTGGCACATGGTGACAGTGCACAATGATATTGGAGAAAAGTCATGTGAGAAACTAAACCCAGGTCATGAGTGGGCTGTAAAAAAACACAGAGGTGGGTGGGGGACACATGGAGGGGGAAGGGAAAGGAGGTCTAAGTAGGGGTCCTTGTGGTTGCAGGAGGGAGGTCCTGGGCACTTTGCCTGGGACTTCCCCAAACCTGGAGCTGGCCCTAGTCATCTTCACTACAAGTTTTGATTTTACATGGATTGAACCATCATGAAGTACCTAAGAATCCTGAGAATAATAGTTTAGTGGCAGTATTGAGAACTCTCTGAAGTATCCTCAGGTGGGGTTGCCATCTCCAGACTGGAAAATGCCTGGAGATTTTGTGGGTGGCGCGTGAGGAGGGCAGAGTTTGGGGAGGGACTTCAGTGGGGTATAATGGTCTTAAAGGTAAAGGTTCCCTTGCTCGAAAGCCAGTCGAGTCCGACTCTAGGGTTGCGGTGCTCATCTCCGTTTCAAAGCCGAAGAGCCAGCGCTGTCTGAAGACGTTTTCGTGGTTGTGTGGCCGGCATGACTAAACACCAAGGCGCACGGAACGCTGTTACAAAGTGGCTATTTTCTCCAGATGACCTGATCGCTGCCACCCGGAGATCAGCTGTAATAGCAGATCTTCAGCAACTTCCTGGGGGTTGGCAACACTAGGCTGCTACCTCTCGCAGAACTACAGTTCCCCCTGGGTAAAATGACTGACTATTGTATCAAATCAGTTTAAGGTCTGTGTGTAGGAGGATCCCTCCAACATGTCCAGCTAGGGTTGCCAGGCTCCAGGTGGGGCCTGGTGATCTCCTGCTTTTACAACTGATCTCCAGCTGATAAAGATCAGCTCCCCTGGAGAAAATGGCTGCTTTTAAGGGTGGACTCTATGGCATTGTACTATACTGAAGCCCCTCCCCAAACCCCACCCTCTCCTGGCTCCACCCCAAAGTCTCCAGGTATTTTCCATACCAGACCTGGCAACCCTATCAAACAATGCTTTCTCCACGGTGTACGAGATTTCTTGTTGCAGGGAGCTTAAGTTTAAAAAACAAAACCCGACAGCATTCACATACAGCGTCCCAAGCCGCCCTCTGAAGAGTCCATCTTATCACCCTCGTTAGGCTTTGCTTCTGAGTCGTAGATGTGCCTCGGCTGAAAGCAATTCAGTTTTTTTCCCCCAGAAGCCAGAAATGTCGCAGTTGCACTGGGGAGCCGCTGGGCGGCTGCCGAAGGAGTGAGTGGCCTGTCTAGGCAGTGACTTGTGCCCGGGACACCGGAAGTAGAGGCGACGTTCCTGCATGTGCGCGTGTTGCTGGGCAAGGAGCTCTGCGGACAGATCCAGAGGCTTTCCGGATCATGGCGGAGAGGGTTGAACAGCGCATTGAGGATCGGATCCCTGAGCTAGAGCAGCTGGAGAGGGTCGGATTATTCACTCACAAGGAGATCAAGTGAGCAAGGCAGAGGCAGGCTGCCTTAAGGGTCACGAGGGCAACAACTCTGACCATTGGGACGTAGGGTTGCGAAGCTCCAGGTGGTACCTGGAGATATCCTGGAATTACATCTGATCTCCAGATTAATGAGATCACTTCCCCTGGACAACACGGCTGCTTTGGAGAATAAACTCCATGGCATTATATCCCACTGAGGTCCCTTCCATTCCCTCCCGAAAACCGGCTATGCTCAAGTTGCACCCCCAAATCTCCAGGAATTTCCCAACTAACAGTTGGCAACCCTAGAACTTGAGAGGGATCTAGACCAAAGTCTAGATTTGATCCTTGGGGCTAAGAACTTGTCTCAAAACAAATTTGTAACAAAGTCCTGTATGTATGCGAGGACACATATTGCTGTAATAAATCTAGGATGCCATGATTCCATTTTCCCACTTATTAATGCTGATTATAATCCTGATGGTTATGCATAAATGTTTTTGACCCATGGTAATTTTTAGGTATTAAGGATGGAGGGGTTTGCAAATGTGTAATATGTCCATTTGGGTGACTCTGTCTCCCAATTAATGCTTCAATTGATACTTGCTTGTTTTGATTCTCATATGAACACTATGCTTGTTTTTTACATATCTGGCTTCTAATTCTCTGACTCTTAACAACTGATGGCCCTGGTTTGCCACTTAAGTAATGGAAAGTCAAGTTTTGTGAAAACATTGCTTAATTCAGCTTTCTTTTCAGTGTATGGTTTGGTCAAGGAAACCCATTCTCAACCTAGAACTGCAGAGTTCTGCAGAACAAGAGTCTCCCCCAGGAAACAGCATTAGGAATCCATATAGTGTTTCAGGCTATATTAAAGTGCTAGATCATTGTTAGGATACTCCTGATTGTGCTATAGCCATTTATTCCCCAAACAGAGGTGTGGAAGATAACTTTCTGTGTATAGATCAAGATGGGTAGCCATGTTACTCTGTCTGTAGCAGTAGAAAAGAGCAAGAATCTAGTAGAACCTTAAAGACTAACAAAATTTGTGGCAGGGTATGAGCTTTTGTGAGTCACTGTTCACTTCTTCAGGTATCTGCCACAAATGTTGTTAGTTTTTAAGATGCTACTGGACTCTTGCCCTTTTCTGTGCATAATCTGTGCAAGCTGTTAATGTGATACTTAAAGCTCACTTTCAAACTACACTTTCATTTAATCTTGGGAACAATTTGGTGAATTAATTCAAAACTCTTAAAGTGAATTATAATTGCCAGTTTAATATAGGAAAGCGATGAGAAGCTGATTTAATAAAAATCCATTTCTAGACCCCTCGATTACAGAGAAATGTTTGCAAATATGAAGGCACTATGAGATAAAAGGTAGGAAGGAAGTGATCAGGTAGGAATTATGATTAGGGTTTGGGATGTTATATGGGATATATATTTTTCTGGTACTCTTCATGTTGAACACAGTTTGTTATGTCCCTTGTTTATTTAGGCTTCTCTCTCCTGCCACCACATTTCCCATTAAAAACTTGCACTTTCAGAAGGGAGGTCTATATTCTGTGTATAAAAACATAAGGAGAGCCCTGCTGGATCAGACCAAAAATCCATCCTAGTCTAGCATTCTGTTTTCCAGGGTGGCCAACTGAGTGTCTCTGGGAAGTCCCCAAACAGAGTATGAAGCCAATAGCTTTGTTGCACTGCTGCCTGCCACTGGCATTTAATTATGGCTAATATTTATAGACAGGCTTATCCTCCATTAATATACTTCATTCCATCAAAACGTATAGAATAAATTAGAACAAAGTCTGAGTCCAATGGCACCTTTAAGACCAACAAAGTTTAATTCAAGGTATAAGCTTTCATGTGCAAGCACACTTCTTCAGAATAAATTAGAGTTGAATAAAGTTAAGATGATGTTTTGTTCTCCTGAGAACGTTTTAGCACATAAATCTAGATATTAGATGACATAATCGTGATCAGGGCTTTTTTTGTAGAAAAAGCCCAGCAGGAACTTATTAGCATAATTGACCACACCCCTGACAGTACAGCTCATTAGCATATTAGGCCCTTGGAGGGGAGGGAAGGAAGGCCGTTTAAACGGCCTTCCCTTGGCTTGCTCAGGTGCCCCACAGCTGCAGAACACCCGGGTAAGCCAGCCCTTGGACAGGCCAAGGAAGACATAAGGAGGTACTTAAATGCCTCCCCGATCCTTCCAGGGGCCCCCCTGGCCCACTCACCTCGGAGTCGCTGGGGGGGGTGTCGCTCTCCAGGCCTTCCCTCTGTAGCTATGCACACAGATGTTTTGGCTGTAGTGGGCATGGCCAACTCTGAAGCCAGCCAGAACTCTGTTCCTGTGCGTTCCTGCCCCAAAATAGCCCTGATCGTGATGCTTCCTGGACTTTTGTGAACCATCTGCTGCAAGTGAGGTGAAGCCAGGATTGGCTGTTTGTTCTGGCAAAGAGATGTTTTAGGGAAGAAGCCAGTAGTATGCCAGGAAACAAAATGGTGGGTGCTGTTGTATTCATGGGCACCATGTATAGGATACTGTTGTAGAAGAATGAACAGGGAAAGAAAAGGAACTGAATACTTTCAAATATTGGCTGTCATTTGATTTCTTCACACACACACTCTTATGTATAAGCATTGGAATTTATAAGTAGTATGCAGTTATAAATGGAGCTGTGGATAGATGTAAGTCAGTCTAGCCAACACCAGTTGTCATATTTAAAAATGCAAAATTTTAGAAGAGGTTTTTATAAAATGGTACAGTGAAGGTATATTGTATGGATCAGAACCATGACAGGATGCTACCTTCTTACATTTCTGTAGGACAGTTATTAAGAAGACCTCGGCTCTAGAATATAAAATACAGCGGAGAGCGCTTCATAAGGAGGATTTTATCAGTTATATTCAGGTAACTTTTCTATGTAGAGTTCTCTCTTGATATTTATCTCGGTTATCTCTTTACATCAATTGTTTTTGTCTTTTTTCCCTGTCCTTCATTACACAACTCAAAGAAGACTGATTAGCGGCTACTGTACAGTTTGGCATACGAAGAATTCCAGATTCTGATTCTGGTCATGTTGTATCCTGTCTTAAGGATGTTTGAGCAAATTGTTTTGGTCCCAGTTCTGTGGATACTCAAGGCTTAAATATGTTGTGCCAGAATTTTCATCCACTTGTGGTATAACTATAGGGGTGCAGAGTGTCGTGTGCATTGAGACAGAATCCTCAGTACTGGGCAACCTTATTAGTTTAGCCCCTGTAGAATTCCAGTTAATTCTGCTATGGTGAGATGAGAGTGTCTGAGTTAGGCTAGGCTGGTAAGAAAAGGAATCTTTTAAGTGAATTACTCCCAAGAGGCTCAAGACAACCTGTTCTGCCACAGGCTCCAGGAGTACCCCTCATATAAAAGGAAGGAAGAAAAACTAGCTGGTCCTGGCAACGTGTTGGCAGAATGGGCCATCAGCGTTCTGCCACTACACTTCTGTCTTTAGGAAGAATATGGCTTAGTTAACTCTGCGTTTTCAAACTTCAATAGATATAGTAATAAATCATATATGCAGTATGGGTGTGTATAACTGATAGCTAAAATTGTTACTGGGATTAATTAATGTGTTGGCTTTTCCCCAGCCCTTATGTCCCAGACGACCTCCCTTAATTGTCATTATCTTTGTGTATTTGTCTAAATGATAGATGTGTGGGCTTGGCATACTAGCTGCCCAGTCTTGGATAATCCTGCTGTTCTTACTCTAAATATTTTTCCTTCCTAGTATGAAATCAATCTGTTGGAATTGATTAAGAAAAGAAGAGCTGTAAGTAGACAAGTAACTGAAAATTTGAAGAAGTGGTTGGATTATTTTAAAAGACTGCAATGCTGGTAATTGTGTCTTTCCCCTCCCCTTAGCGCATTGGCTACTCGTTTAAGAAAGAGGAGATTGAGTACTCTATTGTGCAGCGGATACATGGCGTCTTCAAACGTGCCACAACAAAATGGAAGGTAATTTTTAAAAATCCCATAGAAATGGATGGTTTTGTATAATGTCTTGTGTAACGTGACATCAGGAAAACAGTTTAACTAACCTGGTTTGTGCCATCCAAACTGGTATGCCACTTATTGAAAATATTAAATATGAGGGAATTTCATTGCTAGAAAAAGAATAACCACAGTCAGATGGCATGGAGCTGCTTTTGGTGAGCTCAGTATTGAGGTCTGTATGGTGAAGATGGGGGCTGGCTGGCTGGAGGACCAGATCCCCTGCAGCCATGCTGCTCAGGGCCAAACACCTGTCCCAGTCACTGTGTCACTGCTGCCTCTTGCCCTTGGGCTGAAGAATCCTGACAGTGCTCAGTAAGAGGGATGGGCCCAGAATTTCAGCAAAAGGTAGAAACCTCTGAGGTGTCTTCTGATTTCATTCTGAGGGAAGTGTTTGTGCTTCAAAGCACCATGTGTATTGTAGCTTCTAATTGCTACCCTATGTGAAAAGGTTGCTGCAACAGCAGTCAGGTCAGCAGGACTTTGCTTCCTTGTAAAGCCTCCTGGTGGCTGTCAGAAAAGGAAGGATCCGAGAAGAGAGATCGAGAGCTTCCATTCAACAGCTTAGTCTGAGTGAGGGAGCCCTGCTTCTTATCTGTTGAGACCCAAGTATGTGGGGGGATTAGGAAGACCAGCAGTAGTGACAGCGATTGGTTTAGCAGGAGGCGTGGGGAGAAGATTAGAGGTAAAAGCTTCCAGTGTGGGATGAGAATCCACATGCCACCCCCTTTCAGCCATCCTTTCTTTCATTTCCAACACACTGATCGTTGAAGAACGCCCTCTTTCCAACATGCTCAAGGGTCCTCCCCTTTCTAAAAAGTATACCCGTGCAATTCCCTCATCCAGGTTGCTTCATTGTTATTTTGAATTGTATATTGTTCTGGATTTGAATGGTAAGATGCTTTGGGAGCCAGCGTGACTGCAAAGAAAGGGTATAAAAATGATCAGCCGTTCCGGATTCCGAACAACAAACTTGTCAGGTTGAAAGCAACACCTTGTGTGGGGCTTTGCAGCCCTCGCTGTGGTGCTTCTCACCAACAGGTACTCCATGTAAAAAGAGTGGATGCCCAGCAAGCCGCTGCAGTGTGCCACATCCTCTTGTAGCACAGCTGAGAGAGGGGCCTTGGAGGCTCGGTGGCTTCTGTGTGAACATTGTCTAAATATTTTCCTTGAACGATGGGAGGGGTTTAATGCCAAAATATTGTGCTCTGGTTTCATTTTTAAAAATTCACGAGCTGAATACTGTAGATGCTATTGGGTGTTCTGAAATGCTCACAAATGAATGCACAGCGACTGCATGGCCCAGTGCATAATTTTCTGGGTTTGGATTTGTGGATTCAGTTCTCAGCTCATCTTGGCCTCGTGTTGAGTTGTCACCTTTCTCATTTGGGGAATAAACATGGTCTATCTGTAGGGTCAGCTTGAAAACGAGACACAATAAATATTTGTAGTTGTTGTAATGCCATACAAAATGATGACAGAAAAGTAGTGCAGATTGAGAAATCAACAGTGGTTCTGGAGGAGTGTATTGGCAAGAGGTGGGGTTGTCTTGACCTGCTTACTGGCTCTGAGCCTACCACCTGGTGGCCTTGCTACTCCAGTGGATCCTTCCACTGCTTAATCTCCTCAGTCCTTGCACAGCCCCGTTGCTAAAACTGACAAGCTATGCTGATTTGAGTATTTTTCCATACGTGTATTGGGTTGTTCTTGGTGACGGCGTTTACCTAGCCTTGGGTATACATTTCATTGAACCATTAGAGGGAAGGATGGGGATAAAGTGAATGAGGCCTTGTAAAGAGGCATCCGTAGTGGCTGCCCCAAAACATAGGCACCTCTTCCCCATGGAAACACCAGTGAGCATGTTCTGTGAGGCCCTTCTTTGGGTGTTGGCTTCACAAGGCAAAGGTTTGTTTATTTGTTTAGATATTTATATCCCACTTTTCCTCCAGTGGAAACCCAAAGCAGCTTACAACATCATTCTCCCTTCCTCTGTTTTATCTTCATAACAATAACCCTGTGAGATAGGTCAGGCTGAGAAAGAGCGACTGGTCCGAGGTCACCCAGCAAGGTTTCATGGCTGCGGGGTGGCTTGAACATGGGTCTTCTTCCAGATCCTAGTCCAGCACTAATCACTATTAATACTGGGTCTTCTGATGTGCTTGGTTTAAATTTTAATTTAATTTCAGATCAAATGAAATTGATTTTAATTTAATTTTAGATCAAATGAAATTAAAACATTTTTTGGCTATGTTAGAATAGGCTGTAAAGTCCAGCGAGTAACTCAAGCAGAGAGAACAGAAGAAAAGAGTTGTAATGCAGGGAATCTGTTGCATACTTTATGGTTGCAGAACATGAGTATATGTTTTCCAACGGCATACAATGGATGTGAGGAAACGCTTCTTCTTTTGTTTCTGGAGGAGAGGGCTAGAATCGACGGTCACCTAAGGGCAATAAAGCGATGCTCCTTCATGTTCTGGCTAGCATACAGTGGATGTGAGGAAACGCTTGCTCTTTTGTTTCTGGAGGAGAGGGCTAGACTCGACGGTCACCTAAGGGCAAATAAAGCGATGCTCCTTCATGTTCTGGCTCCCTCTGCAGATCGTGGGATTTTTGGTTGTGTTCCTATGTTGCTCCCAATTCTTTTGCTGCCAGTTGTTACAGGAAGGTTTATTGTGTGTTGGGTGAATGGTATATAGAAAATAGCACTTGTGTGCTCAGCTGTTTCTTTTTTCCCTTTGCTTCATCCCAATAGGATGACATTCAACTGTGGCTGTCTCATGTTGCATTTTGCAAGAAATGGGTGAGTATTTGGGCATGACGTCTCCCATTCAGGCTGCATGAATTGATATAACACACAACAAGGGACATCAGCACAGAACAGGAGAGAAAACTAGAACTGTTGCTGCTGTGGGATATTTTATTCCCAGTGGAGTATCCCAAATGCTTTTTCCAGAAAATCAGCTGTCTGTTAGAGGAATGTAAAATATTGTATTAGTGTGCTTGTACTGAGAACTGAGGGGCTGCGGTGGCTCAACTGGTTAAGACAGAGGAATGTAAAATATCATTGTATTAGTGTGCTTGTACCGAGAACTGAGGAGCTGTGGTGGCTCAAGTGGTTAAGACGCTGAACTGCAGGCTGTGGAAGGTCGGTAGTTCAGCAGTTCGAGACCCGGGTGCCGCATGACGGAGTGAGCTCCCGTCTCTAGTTCCAGCTCCTGCCAACCTAGCAGTTCGAAAGCAAGAAATTGCAAGTAGATAAATAGGTACCACTTCGGTGGGAAGGTAACAGCGTTCCGTGCGCCTTGGGGTTTAGTCATGCCGGCCACATGACCACGGAAACGTCTTCGGACAGCGCTGGCTCTTCGGCTTTGTAACGGAGATGAGCACCGCAACCCTAGAGTCGGATTCGACTGGCTTTTGAGCAAGGGAACCTTTACCTTTACCTTTTTACCGAGAACTGATATCGCCTGTCACTTGCTTTGACCACTGACTAGCACTGATAAGCCATTGAGCTTCTTTCAAGGAAGTACTGGGTGCAGTCTTGGCATTGGTGAAGAACTTGATCAAAGTGACTGAAATTGACTGAAGCTTTTATTTGTACTCGCTTAACACCAAGCACACCCCGTCCTGGATGGCCCGGGCTAGCCTGGCCTCCTCAGATCTCAGAAGCTAAGCAGGGTCGGCCCATGGATGGGACATCACCAAGGGATACCAGGGTCACTATGTAGAGACAGGCAATGGGAAACCACCTGTGACTGTCTTTGGCCTCGAAAACCCTATGGGATCCCCATAAGTCAGCTACGACCTGATGGCGCTTTCTACCACCACCAGCACCAAGCGCAGGGTTGGCCTATGGATTTTTCTCTTTCCTTCATATATGGGATGAAGCTTGGAATGCTTCAGATTCTGCGGTCTCTGCAACAGTGGCCCTTTGGAGGAATCTGTTGTGAAAAGAGGGAAAAGAGCATCAGCTGCAGGCTTACTAGTGTAACCCTTCTTGGGATGCCAAAAAAACACCACAAACTGATCCCCCCCCCCCCCAGAACAAAGGGGGACATTTGATCCCCCCCCCCCCAAGTAGCAAGAGGGTACTTTTCCAAGATCCATCTTTACTCCCCTCCCCCAGTAAGATTGCAGGTTAGCCTCAACAGTACTCTTCAGGGTGAGGTTTCTCATTATGCAAGAAATGACTGTGTGAATTGTCCCAGATGTTTTCAGAATCTGTCAGAAGACAAGGTCACTGTGCTTTCCTGGGTGACTGCAAGCACTGTTTGCCTTACAAAGGAGGCTCATTTGCACTCTTGGTGCCATTTGGGTTTTCTTGCTTCTCTTCCAAACCGCTCTCTTGGGGATGGTGGATGCTAAAAGTTAAGTCTCTTGCATTGCAGAGGTGGATGGATCTTTTCCACTGTTAATTGTACTAAAAACCAACAATATAGCCACTCTTTGTAATGCAGGCGAGTCTATTTCAGGCTGAAAGGTTAGCAACACACCAGTGTGACTGATGCCATCTGTCTCCTTACAGAACAGGAAAATACAGCTGAGCAAGGTGTTTTCTTCCCTGTTGGCCCTTCATTCAAATAAACCAGGTACCGTAACTTAACAGCAGTAATTTGCAAGCAGAGAGGTATGATAAGCTAGTACTGAAATATAATTGAGGGTTGTTTCCAGTGTTCCCTCTAAGCTGAGTTAGTGTGAGCTAGCTCACAGTTTTTTAGCCCCCAGTTCACACATTTTTGTCTCAGCTCAGGAAGGATGGCTCCAGAGCAAACTGATTTATGCAGTAGCCAAATCGCTTGCTCACAACTTTACTGCTAGTAGCTCGCAAAATAGAATTTTTGCTCACTAGATTCCACAGCTTAGAGGGAACATTGGTTGGAAAACCCCCCCAGGAAAAAAGAACAAGGGAGAAAAACCCTTAAAATCCAACAACTAAACAAAGTTAAAAAAGAAAAAAAAGATATATAGAGAGACAAAATTATAACAGTGGTGGCAGATCTATACATAAGTTTCTGTAAATGGTTTCCAAATATCTAAAAATAAGTCCATATGCAATTGTTGTGTATATGCCATGTGTTCAGCTATTGAAAGAATTCTGAGGTCCTCAGTGCACTGATTTGTGATGGCATTCACCAATACTGAGTAACAGCACTTTTTCCGGAGGTGGGTTTTTTATCTTTCCTGCGTCGTAATATGACCCCTTTAGCTGTAGTAAGGGCCTGAAAGGTCCATTTTTGTTGACCATCATTTAGCCTCCAAGAGATGGGCAGCTGGTTTAAATAGTTTAAAAAAAAACATAAGCATCCTCATAAATCCATGCACAGTCTAATACAAAGCAACTTCTTTCCAGAAAAAACTGAATGACTGAACACACCCAAAGCATGTGTTTAAGGAACACTTCCTGTGAGTTACAGTGCCAACAATTAGACACCTTACTCAGTCCTTTGCTAAAGAGTCTCTGTGGTGTCCAGGATACCCTAAACATAATTTTTTGCTCAATGAGTTGCAGCTTTAAGATACATGGAGAGAGCTGGTATAAACTTGGCCATATCCAGTTGCTTTGGCAAAACAGGGAGATCTAGTTTTTTGTTCCATTCATTGCTGAGACTCTGCATATTTCAGGCTTGTTTCACATTAAACAACAAACAGAAGTTCCCTGGTTAACACTGTGGGTTACCACCACATTTTTTCTTTGGGTGCTTTCCTGTGGAAAGTAGCATTGAGTTGAAAATGGGGGGTGACTATCTTTCCCTCCTGAGGATGTTTCTACCAGGTGTTGGAAAAGACCATTCTGTGCCTGGGATCTTGGAGATCCCAAAAGGACTATAGAGACCCTCTCCCCTTGCAGATTCATGATTTGCGATTTCACTTATTCTGGATCAAATCTCATTATACAGTCTCCAGCAAGTTTTTATTCCTACTATGCCATCATTGTAATAATTATGCAGTTAAATTTTGCTGGGAATCTCATGGTTTTGGTGCTGGGTTTTGGAGGCAGAAGATCCCGGTCTCCCAGTATCTGTGGATTTAGCTGTTTGCTGTTATCACTTGTGAACGGCAAGAGTCCACCATATTACTGAGCTACATGGATCTGATGTGGTCTGAAACTGCTTCAGGCATTCCGTGTGTTAAGCCTTTTCCCACCCAGGTCTTCTGGATTAGATGGGTTTTTGTTGTTTGTGAACAAGTACAATCCAGATTTTGCCTCCACCACATTTATTATGATGTATGTAGTGTGTCTTCAAAACTGCCCTGAGACCGGTGTGTGTGTGTATACACACACATTTTCAAAGTTTATATGAATAGCAGTTACTTGTGTGAAAATATGTGGTAGTCATTCAGTCAAAGATAGTGACTGCATGTTTTCAGATACACAAATGCTTAATCCAGGGATTTGTTACTGCCATATGCAGTGAACTGATAGCATCAACATTAACACAAGTACTGGGGGCAAAAATCGAGTAAGCGGGAATACAGCGTAGATTCTTTTGTTTGGAATAATGTCTTATTGCCTGTTAGTTTTGCAGCAGCTGTATGCAGTAACAGCCAGCACCTTTCTGTTACAGCTCTGTGGATTATGGCTGCAAAATGGGAAATGGAGAACCGCCTGTCATCTGAAAATGCCCGGCAGTTGTTTTTGCGTGCATTGCGCTTCCACCCAGAGTGTCCCAAACTTTATCAAGAGGTAGCATATGGTTTTGCTCTATATATAAATATCTATTTCTTATGTACAGATATATTCACACTTCTTAGCTCATAGAGTTATATGTTAATAGAACGTGTCATTAGGTTGTCACTTTCTACCCGGTAAATGTGTTCAGTGTGGTGGTTGGAGCCTTAGTTTTTATTGTTACTCCTTCTGTTTTCTGTAGTATTTTAGAATGGAGCTGATGCATGCTGAAAAGCAGAGGAAAGAAAAGAAAGTGTTTGAGCAAGCAAAAATGGACTTGGTAAGAAAACATGGGTGGGTGGGTCTGCCGTTGAAAATGCATGTATGTGGGTGAATCAGTTCCACTGAGGTGGTCAAGATGTGGCATTTGATGTGGTGATTTGGTGTAGTGGTTAAGTGCACGAACTCTAATCTGGGAGAACCAGGTTTGATTCCCCACTCCTCCACTTGCACCTGGCTAGATGGCCTTGATAAGAGCTGTTCTTGAAAAAGAGCAGTTTCTGTCAGGAGCTCTCTCAGCCCCACCTACCTCACAGGGTGTCTGTTGTGGGGAGGGGAAGGGAAAGGAGTTTGTAAGCCGCTCTGAGACACCTTTGGGTAGTGAAGGGCGGGGTATAAATCCAATCTCTTCTTCTTCTTCTTCTGTATTAAGAGACAAGAATTACTGCCCCGTCTGTACTGGTTCTCCCATAGACTGTTCCCACACGTTAAAGCTAAAAAAAAGGCATCATGCGAAACCCTGCTGATTCTTTGGTGGTGAAAAGTGCTGTTAAGTCACAGCTGATGTATGGTTGACCCTGAAGATTTTATAAGGCAAAAGACGTTCAGAGGTGGTTTGCCATTTCCTGCCGCCACATCAAACCCCCCCCCCAAGAACTTCTTGGTGGTCTCCCATCCAAATACTAGCCAGGGCCGACCCTTCTGAAATCCGATGAGATCAGGCTAGCCTGGGCTATATCCAGGTCAGGGTTACTGATTTTTGTCCTTAAGATGTAGGCAGGGTTGAAGGGTGGTCTTCCCAGGGAAAACCTTGCATGTTAGGAGGAGGAGTGATGCTGGCACCGTGGTCTCCCATGCAGCAGATCTTCTGGGTTTTGCATCAGGAGCCTGGAAAGCTTGAGGTGCACTGTCTGTTCATGAAGGCAAGATAACTGGCTCATAGAGCATTGATTTTAATTCATTCTTTCAGAGATCACTGGGAAATTGGTGTTCAAAAGTCTACGTCTCTGTATTTTATTCTATGGGATTTAGAGTTCCCTGTGCTCTGAGCCCTTGTGGGCATCTGATGCTAAATTCCGCCCTGGCTGCCAAAGGCCGGTTTGAATGAAGATGTTTTATGCTACTTCTGGAACATGCATTTCAGCTGATGGAGTACTGTAATAATAAAATTGGTTGTTTTAGGAACATGCGTTGACTCAAGTTTTAGTGAATATCTAGTTTGCTTTGTCCTGGCACTTTCATTCTCCTCCTTCTTCCCCCCCCCCCCCCAGTTAATTTTCCACTTGAAAATAAATATTTCCAAGAAACACACTAAGCTACCTACCTTATATTGAATCAGACTATTGGTCCATCAGGATCAATATTTCCTACTCTGACTGGCAGCACTTCTCTAGGATCTAAAGCTAACCAGTGATGTGTGCTTTCTTCTTCGACTGCTGCCTTTGCATTATAGTCTGATTCTTCCCCGATAAGTAATGGTGCCTGTGCTTTGTTGTGCTTTATGCAAGAAGGGGCTGCACCATCTTCTTCATTGTTGCGTCAGTAATGCTACTGTATATGGAGCATTCTTCTGAACTCACCTGCATGTGGAACCCTGTACGTGCACTGGAGCTCTATCGAGCTTTGGATTGCATCAGTACTACGGAGGAAAAAAGGCTCAGTTGCATTCTATACATGTTTCTGTCTTCTCTGCATACGAGAGAGATTGTTAACTGTAAAATCACATTGTCTAAAATTTCAGGGTGAGTTCAGTTATTCTGATGACATACTTAATGGCGAACTGGCTCGAATAGTCTGGAGAGAGGCCATCCAGAAAATCAAAGGTAACCAAATCCTTCCTTTTCTCCTCCTACCTCCGACTTCAGTTTTTTTAAAGAAGTAGCAGCCTTGCAGCATGTTTACTACCATGTATTCAGCCACCTTGGGGAGCCTTGAAGATGGCTGTCATTCGCTTCAGTTTGCATATTGTTAGTGTGCTAGGTTGGACGGCCCAAATGTCCGATCTGTTTTGAGCTGCGTGTGCTGAAAAATGGGGTCTTGCAAAGGCAAGCAAATAATGCAGTGTATTGTTGGCGTAAACTGATGTTCCATGCTAGCTCTGCTTCGTTCACAAGCTGCTCGGACGACCCTTTTCCTCTCATTTAATAGTTGACAAGAATTAGGGTGCCCACACAGCTCAGAACACCCATTTTTAGCCCCTCTCTCTCTCTCCATTCTAGGTGCGGAGTTTCAGTTGACGCTGCTCTCTATTGCAAAACTGTTTGATTTTACACAGGACTTCCAAAAAGAAATTTTGGACAAGTAAGTAGGCAGCAGTGGGGGGAGTGGTGCAGACAGTGAAGTTTCCATGGTTTGTTCTTCGTAAGGATTCATTGCAGGCATGAATTCGGCTTTTAGGTCTAGAGTTGTACTTTGAATACAGCTGAAAAAGTTGAATTGGATTCTGTAAATCTGCCCCATTGACTGTGGTCATGCATTCCCCCCCCCCCAAGTAACCTGCTTCTCCCCAAAAGCTTTGTGTAGGTGTGTGACTGGCTGGTCTAGTGCACTTCGTAGCCTTCTCCATCAAGTGGATTTGAAAACTTGGGAAATTATGAGAATAGATAGCTATCTTCTCTCCCCGCCCCCTGTTTGCAGTGAGATCCAGTGGCCTAAAGACAATTGTTGCATAGAGTAAACACCACAGTTCTTTAAGCCTCCTCTGTAGCACTGTGAACCTGTAGAATATGAACCTTCTGTTACCTTTCCTACAAAAGGATAATCTAGCAGACTGCTGCATCTTTGACAGTTCCATCAGCTTCCCCCCCCCCCTCCAGGCAGCATCAGCAGTATGTCAGAAGGAGCAAAAAAGCATCTTTGCTTACAATTGCTTTGTTGTTTGAACAAAATAACTCTTCACTCCAGAGCCTCATAGCGAGAGAGTGAAGACACAGATAAAGGCATGACGTCACCTTTTTGGTTTTTAAGATTGCAGGCAGAGCACGCTAACGATCCTTTTGTGTGGGATTACATGGCACGGCGGGAGCTGGAGATGGACTCCCTGCCGTCAAAAGAACACCCGTCTAAACAGTTAAAGGCACTTGAGGTGGCCCACAAAGAAGAACGGTGCTGTAGAGTGTTTGAGGAGGCCGTGACGTCCCTTCCCACAGGTGAGAAATTGTAGAGAGATGTATTAAGCGTTGATTCATGCTGTTCTTTTAGAATGGAGGTTTTGGAGGTGCGTGCAGTCATCAACTTGCTGGAGCTCTTTACGAAGCAGTGGGCTTGATTAAAGGGCAGCATTTTCTACTGGCATTGGTTTTGACTCTCTCTCCCCCTCATCTTCTTGCGTCTTTCATTAACGTCTCTATGGTAATAGGTAGCAGTTCTCTCTCTAGCAAAAACAATACTGGGAACGATGCTGTTAATTTCAGCCAGTAGTCTCAAAGGGGAACTGGAGGCTTGTTCTGTACCAAGGTCTAGTTCTTGCAAACAGCAGGTGAGGTGGCAAGCCTGTTTTTCGAGAGGATCGCTTGAGACTGCAGGGGAGGGCTCACATAATTTAATGTTCCTCCATAAAAATAAAAAGCAATTCCCTGTATATGGAAAGCTAGGATTCAAAGGGAATGATTTTAGCATAGCCATCATCCAAGCACATATGTGTAATTTTTTGGTCTGTGTGTGTGTGAGAGAGTGAGAGAGAGAGGAAGCATTCGATCAACCTTTTGGTGCAAAGTGGTACAGTCCCCCTTTCATAACTCCATGGCTGATTACTGTAATGGGGATCTATGTGGGGCTACCCTTGAAGGCAGCCCAGAAACTGCAGCTAGTTCAGAATAAAGCAGTCTGATTGTTGTTGCGAGCCAGCTGACAGGAAGGGATCTCACCTATTATAAACCAGTAACTTGGATACCAGTTTGTTTCTGAGTTCAAATCCAGGTGCTGCTTATGACTCTTAAAGCCCTTCGTGACATACCCCGTCTGAAAAACTGGCTTTCCCAGTATGTCCCCATCTGCTAACTCCTGTTCTTTAGACTGCCACCCTTTGGTGGTGCCCCCTCTGCCTGGCATGGTCTCGAGCCCATTCCTTTTTGAGCAGGAGCTTTCACCTTGTTGAATGGGCTCCCTGAGGAAGCAAGGGGGCACACCATCACTATAAGTTTTTAGGAGGTCTTTCAAGGCCACCTTATTTGCTTGAGATGCAAGCTGCATGCATTGCGGGGTGAACTGGGGTTTAATTGCCCTTTGTAAATTTGGAATTTTAAGCTACCTTGAGCTATGGGGACAGGGTAGGGTATAAATATTTTAATAATTCCAGTCAAGTGATACCATCCTACCACATCTACTCTGTGGGAAATGGGCCAGTGGGTGAGTCTGGGGGCCACCATCATTTCCCAACCAAAGAGAAGCCCAAAGGAAATTTGAACACAGCCAAACTCATAGACTCACCTAGCTTCACTGGAGCTGGGTAGCAGACCAGAGAGCTTTTAAGCCACTCACTCCTGTGTGCACTACTGTGGAGCCAGAGACCTTCCATCTCTTCTGGGACTACAGCATTCTAGCATGCTACAAAGCCTGAGTAAATGGGATCCAACCTGCAGCATTGCCAGAGCCTGCACCTCTCCCCACAGCCCCTTAGTGCCCTGTATGGTTGTATCTTGTGTGGTTGTATCTTGCCAATCAAGTGACCTTCACTCTAACTATTCCCTGTGCCCACCCGCACTTGAAACCCTCCATGTTTCCCATAATCTTTAACAACCTATTCAGTCTCCTCCAGGTCCACTATTTCTTCTGTTCCCTGTATTCTGTCCTAGCCCCTCTCCATTCTCTCCACTTTTGAAGACTCATCTTTCATATTTAGTGCTGGCATAGACAGAATGGAATCAGTGACAATAAAGTATTACACACTTTTAAAAAAAAAGGGGGAAATGGGCCAGGGGATTGGTAGGTGGTAGTGGATGATGGTGTCTTATAGAAGGACTGTGCCATAGCTTCCCACAGTGCAAAGTATTTGTTAGCCCTATTTATTTTATTGCTTATATATCACCTTAGCCATGTTTTTTCCAGGCAAATAAAACTGTTATACTGGTAGTTTTCTTATATGATTACATTCAGCAGTGATGACATTTAAATACTCCAAGCTGTGGCAGTGGGCATCCAATGAAACAATTCACTGTAGCAGCAAGATATTGAAAATAAACACATTACTGGGCAGCAGTTTAAGAAAAAACAGAAGCAGTTCAGCAAACAAGCAAAGCCAGCCATAAAAAAGAAAGAAGGAGAAAGCAAAGACTTAAAACACTGGATGCCAGGGAAAAGAGAAACTCTTTTACCTGGTGTCTAAAACTGAAGATGCCAAGCAAAGAGACGTGGAGGGAGTGCCACAGACATGTGCCACTACAGAGAAGGCCCTGGCAACATAGATGTTTTGTAGAAAAAGCCCAGCAGGAACTCATTAGCATAATAGGCCATACCCAACAGTAGGAACTCATTAGCATATTAGGCCACACCCTAACAGCACAGCTCATTTGCCTATTAGGCAACACCCCCATGCTACCAGAAGTGTGGTCATCCAGCCACACCCACCTATTGCTTCTTATTCTGTTTACCTTGTTTGTTGTCAAAACCCAGGGCGTTTTTGCATGTTAGGCCACACACCCCTAATTGTAGCCAATCCGAATGAGTCTCTGCTGTTGAGTGTGGCCTATTATGCTAATGAGTTCCTGCTAGGCATGGCCAGCTTGGGAGCCAGCCGGAACTCCGTTCCTGTGCGTTCCTGCCCAAAAATAGCCCTGGATGTTAACAACTTCATCTTAAGAACACTGGAATAAATTTTCCACTAACAGAAGGGGTTCCCCCCAGTTCCCTCTTCCTTCTGCAGGCCCCCAATTTGCCTCTCCTCCTGCTCTTAAGGGTCATCTGTCCACCAGGAGCCACATTTGGGGGAGATCAGTGGAATGCAGCAGGAGGAGGGGAGGCAGGAATGCTCTGTTCCAAGAAGCACCTTGTGTGAGCAGAAAATTGAGCCTGGATGCAGCCCTCTTCTTCTGACAGTACAGTGAGAGTAGCTAGTGCAGCAAAAGACCTGCCTTCTTCCTCCTGCCAAGGACACTGAACACTTCAGGAGTCGTTTCTGAAGGGGAAGTGCCACCCACTTTTTGCTGTTTTGCTATGCCCAGTATGTATAATATGAGGGGAGAATATAGAGGAGGGTGGGCCTGTCTGTATTCCTCACAGTTCATTCTCAAGAGTTGTTCTTTTTCGATAAGCCTCGTACACTTTGTGAGCCATGTGAAAGTAAAAGGAATGAGCAAGAGGCTCAGTGTTGCTGGGATTGGGGGGCCATGCTGGTAGTTCTACATCTTCTCTGGGAGAAAAAGAACCTATGAATTAGCTATTCAGTCTTAAGAGAAAGTGCTAGATTCAAGTCCAGTAGCACCTTAGAGACCAACAAGATTTTCGGGGTATAAGGTTTTGAGAGTCAGAGCTCCCCGCATCAGAAACTATTCCTCTTCTAATGTCATTTATGACATCAAATGTCAGCAGTTCCCTTCCACTCTCTACATCGGACAGACAGCTCAGTCCTTACACAAAAGAGCAAATGGACATACAACCAACATTAAAAACCACAACATTCAAAAACCAATGGGAGAACATTTTAATCTTCCAGGACATTCCATTGCTGACCCAAGAGTGGCAGTCCTCTAAAAAAGAAGCTTCAAGGGGAGATTACAATGTGAGATTGCTGAATTTGAGTTCATTCACAAGTTCAGAACAGTGGACCCCTAGGGCTGAATAGGGACATAAGGTTTTTATCTTACTACAGATGCTAATTTTCTGTGCCCCGCCATTTCCCCTCTAATCAAGCTGATTACAATGTGTATTGTACGTCTGCATTCTGAGTTCCTTCTTTGCAACATTCCTCCCACCTTCTGATTGGGATATAAGGACTCAAAGATCTCCCTTCCCATTTGTATTTGCTAAACCTTTGACTTTCGAAAGGTTATACCCCCAAAATCTTGTTGCTCTCTAAGGTGCTTCTGGACTTGAATCCTCTGAAACCATGTCTTCTTTTTAAAAAGGTTGATTTCATAGGGATTATTTAATACTTGGGATTTTCTTTTGCTGACCTTGGAAGGGCAGGTGGTTACTGTAATTGTTACTCTCTCTGAAGATCATAACTATCATTTTTATGTCTTTAACACTCCCAGAGGACATGTGGAAATGTTACATCACTTTTTGCTTGGAGAGATTAAACCGGAAGACCAATTGCGAAGAGTTAAGGCAGAAGGTAAATTTCTTACCTTCAGAATAATAAGCACATTCTTCTGTTACTGGTTTCTCTTAACTACTTTTGGAGAAATGTTGTTGGAAACCCCTCAGTTTGAGGCAGAAATGCAGCTTGCAAGCCTGGAAGCACTTGCTACCTTAAATGCTATATATTACTGCTAAGCTTCTATCAGTTTCTACTGGTGGGCCCCACTGTAAAACAGAAAAGGGTCCTTTGTACCACAGGTTCATGATTCTTTCAATCTGATTATTTTGATGGATGATTCTTTATTCCTGTAAATATCTATAATCTTATTAGTGCACATCTTTAGCCTGCCCTTCATCATTCCAGTTACTTCATTTTTTTAGAAGTTATTTTTGGAAGATCAGATTGGCTCTGGATGCCCTGGCTGGACTTTTCAAATGGCTGCTTCCCTTTACAGTCATTGATGAAAAGCTCCATATGACATCAGGGCTCTTAGTGGATAGTGATGGGCAGGTATCTATACAAACAGGATTTGCAAGCATTTATAAACAGCTTTAGTGCGGTTCGAAGTGATGATGTCAGAGAGATGCTGTCTTTTAAACTGTCTTGAGCGTCTTCTGTGGAAGTGCCTAGAACCTTCTGTCAGATACCGCTTCCAACCTTTTAAGGGGCTAGCTCTAAAATCCTGAAATCTAGAACATGCTTGGGACCTTACAGGAATTGGATGAATGACCTGAACTTTAAAGTACCAGTTCAGTTCTGCAGTTTATAGTGCACTTTTTAGGTACAGTACCTCTTTAAAGTCACATTGGTTGTTGGGTGATTTACAGGAGGTTTCCTCTCTCAAAAGTTCCATTTTGTTTTCATGGTATCTAGTTTACACAGAAGTAAAAATTACATTTCTTCTCCCTGTCTTCTTGTTGTAGAGGCTGGAAAGGACATTAGGCACCTTCAATCAAGCTCACGAGTCACAGTTGCTACCAGCTTCATTGTATAAACAATGGGTAAGGATGCTTGCAGTTCTGAGGGGGCCGCCTCACACTTTGCAGTTTCAAAAGTTACTGCCTCACATCAAACAGGAAGGCCAGAGGTGAATCTTGTAAGGCTGCTTCTAAATGCTGACATTTTACCTTCAAATTACTCCTCTTCAGCTTCAGGTCTTACTGGAGCTTGACCTCCAAGAGAAGGCCGAAGAGGTGGCAGCGGCAGCCACCAAGCAATTCAGCCACTTGGTAGAAATGTGGGAAATGAGACTGCAGCTGCTAATCAAGCAGAGCAGTGATGGTCTGGCCTCTTGTTTCCAGGAAGCCTTTCGGGCAGTTAAAGATAAGGTGAGTGACTGGCCTCTTGTAATGGTGGCATCTGAAGAGGTGTTGGTCAGAAGCCTCAGTGTGCATGTGTGGACTGAAAGCTTGAGGGCAGCTTTTAAAATTTGCCGCACCTAGGGTGAGTAGCAGTTGATTATGGGGACACACCTCAAAGCTACTGCCGTTGTGCACCTTCCACTCTGTGCTCTTAATCCTTAAAGGCTGAGATACTAATCCACGCAGTTATGATAGCAACACTGTTTCCTGCTTGGACTTGTGTAGGCTTGGAGTCCCTCCAGATTCCTGATGTTTCATACAAGATTTGTATATTCTAGTAAAAAACAATCTATTTTACTTTGACAATTAAGGTTGGATGGACATTTAGATTAAATTTAAACATACATAAATAAACAGATAAAAAGATACGTTACCTGAAAGAATTATGTTGTTAAAGAATTGGAAAAGGAGAAAAAAATTAAGAATGTAATAGAGGTTTGAGCACTGTGGGAAGTCAGAGGGGGGGGGAGATATTTGGATAAAAGGATATGAAAAGTTTGTTATATGACGTATAATTTTACTTATTACTATATCCTAATAAAATTGTTTTTTAAAAAAATTTGTATATTCTGCGGGATGAAGGATTCCCTGACTGGCTTAACTCCCTTCAAGAGAAGGGAGGCTCATTAATTGTCCGTGATATCCTATTCTTCAGCCCTGCTCTGGGCTTCCTGTTAGCTTGAAAATCTGCTACACAGTTGGTCCATAGTTGCTTTGCATATGATAACACGGAAGACTCCAGTACTGTTCATAGCGTGTGTGTTGTGAGTTCCAACAATCTGCGGCCCACATCATGTGGGGAGGGAGACTGTGCACTGTCCCTGTCCCTGTGCCTCCATGCAATTGCTGAGTCATTTGTACCACGTGAATGTGCTGCGGCAGTGCCTACAGGTACACTGCCTCTCCTTGAGTGGTGACATTGCCTTGCTGATCATAGGGAAGGGGATATGTGCACGGGCACTTCCTCCAGGCATTCACACCATGCAGACCACTTGGCAGGTGTGCAGGATGCAGCCAGCCACTTGTGCCTAGTCTCCTTTCCCATGCAGTGAGTTGACGGTGCATCTGCACAGGGCTAGTATGTTTTTGGCCTCCTGTGTCACTGTGATGGTTAGACAGTGTTATTGATGCAACGAACATGAAATTAAGCAAACTCCGGAGCATGACGGAAGACAGCAGGGCCTGGCATGATGTGGTCCATGGGGTCGCGAAGAGTCTGACTTGACTGTGCGACTGAACTGTGTCACTGTGTTTGGTTTTCCTCCCCAAAATACTATTGACTCCAGACTGCATCTAAAAAAGTTTTTTTTTAGACTGCATCTAAAAAAGTTTTTGGACCAGGAGAGGAAGGTATACAACTGAATTACCATTCAAGACACGTGTACCTGACCAGGGCAGCAGGTTATTTAAAACGAGGCCTCTGAATTGTATCTCTGCCTTAGGTCACAGATATTGATTATAAAACAATTTTAAGATGGTCTAAAGCCACTGTGAAACAACACTGTTTGACCACTGAAGAAGGCCAGCTGGCCAAAACATGTTTGGTCAGGGTCAAAAATGGTCTATGTTTGAAATAATTGTATGATTTTATTCTGACTTGAAGCTACTATTTGGGCCTACCTTTGTTTTTATCTAATTTGTAATAAATACATGCATTTAAAAAATTTATTTGGTAATACTTATGTTTTAAGTTTAGATCCAGAACTATTGGGTGCTCACATTCTGACACTTTAACCTTTAAACTCTTAATTCAATTCTTTTTGGGTTAAGTTCTCCCCCCTTGTGTCTTTTGTTGGTTTTTCTCCTCCACAGGACAGCTTGCCATTATGGATTTTATGGGTTGAATGGAGTGAGACAGTGAATAGCAAGGCTGAAACTGAAGCTCTGTATCAGGTATTGTGCATCAACAGGAGCCTTGTGGTTCCAGAAAGAACAACACATTTTATTCCAGCATAAGGTTTTGTGGACCAGAGCTCAGTGCACTGAATAAATAAACTCTAGCCCACAAAAGCTTGGGCTGGAATAAAATGTTATTGATCTTTAAGATGCCACAAGACTCCACTTCTATTTTTACCGCAACAGACTAACATGGATACTCCTTTGGAAGTATTGTGCATAGAAACCATTTATTAAAAATATTGAATGGCAAAAAAAAAAAATCATGATGCTGGGAATGACATCTATTTTTAAAAAATGAATTTTAGACCTATCGTTGAGATAGTGGCCTTGGAGACAGCTAATTGTTGGGCCAAGTCTGTGATGGTGCAATATAGAGGACCTGTAGACAAATAGAGCTTACAAAAAAGGAAATTTTTCTTGCTGAAGATTTTGAGTTTGAAAAGGGGGGTGGTTTAAGGAAGGGAAGGAAGAAAAAGATAGGGGAAGATTTTTGGGTCACAGTAAAAGGCATTTGCAAGAGAAGGAGAAGAAGAGGAGTTGGTTTTATACCCCGCTCTTCACTACCTGAAGGAGTCTTGGAGCAACTGACACGCTTCTTCCCTTCCTCCCCTCCCCCCGACAGACACCATGTGAGGTAGGTGGGGCTGAGAGAGCTCTGAGAGAACTGTGACTGACCCAAAGTCACCCAGCTGGCTGCATGTGGAGGAGTGGGGAATCAAACCCAGTTCTTCAGATTAGAGTCCGCTGCTCTGTACCACTACACCAACCTGGCTCTCTTGATGATATTAATACACAAAGTCTCCAGCTACATATGTGAGGATTGTACTTGTGAATCAATAAAGTACAAAACTGGTAGATAGTTAAGACAAAACTGAATGCATGTCGCTGTGCTATAGAATCAGATTTTTATCCTATGCAAACACAGTGAATACCTTGTGCATGCCCTGATAATACTAAATTGCTGAGAACTCAATGGGAGGCCAGTCAGCCAACCCATTGCATTTACGATTTTATGAGTGTTCAGTTCCCTAATAAGCATACAAATTAAATAAAGACCCCTGTTTGTTCAGTACCGACAAGTCATTTGTAAATTCATACCCCTTGAATATTAACTGTTGAAATTACTATTGCAGAAGGTATGAAGATGGTATGTCCAAATGTGTATGTTCTTTAAATACGCCCCTAAAATCAAAAGGCAAGTTGACTGGTCTCCCATTGCGTCTTCAGTGATTTAGCAGCAACAGTATCCTGTATACACACACTGTGTGACTTTTACTTACAAAGGATAAAGATTCTGGTTTCGTAATTGATCTGTGATGTGACACTGTTTTTTTAATATATTTTTATATTGAGAGCTAGCATGGTATAGCAATTAAGATCAACAAACTCTAATATGAAGAAGCAAGTTTGATTCCCCACTTCTCCACATGAAGCCTGCTGTGTGGCCTTGGGCCAGTCAGCCCCACCTACCTCACAAGGTGCCTGTTGTGGGGAGAGGAAGGGAAGGTGATCTTATGCTGCTTTGAGACTCCTTAAGGTACAGAAAAGCAGGGTATAAAAACCAACTCTTCTTCTTATATGCTTTTTTGTACTTGGAATCTGTTTGTGAGTTGGGAGATTCAGCTGTGCATGAGTACATTTATGCTGCTATTTTTTAGTGTACTTTTGGGTCCATTGCCATCCCTCCTCCATAGTAGTTTCCTTTGCGGGTGGTGACAGTAGCAGATGAACTGTCACTGCACTGCTGCGTCGTATGGAAGGTTCCATGGGAGCAGACTTGGATTCCTTGAAGCCTTAAACTTAAATACGCATCCTTTTTCTCTCCTGCTTGTTCCTTATTTTGCATGTGCTCCTTATCTTCAACTCTGGAGCACTCCTTCGTGCATGTAGGCCAAATAAGAACGTTTCTAACCAGTGCAAGAGAAGAATGAGTCTTGGGCTTGTGCAGGACATCAGCAAGTCTGACTCTTCTTCCATCCTATTCTCTCCAGGTAGCATATGATGTGGCACAATATTTTTGCATAGGGGCAAGGGCTTGCACACAGCACACAGAAACCCAAGAACATTTTCCCTTCTTGTACCAGATAGACAAGTGTTCATCTACCTGTCAAGTCCCTGTTTTAGGAAAAGGTGATAGCAAGACATCATTGGAGAACATTGTTTCAAAAGTTGTATTCTCTGTGTATTAAAGATCACTTATTTGTTACAGACTTAGCATATTTATGTAACAGAAGCCGTGGTTGGTTTTTCTAAATAAAAGTTTACGTTTAACTTGGCAGAAATCCTTACTTGCCACAGTCCCAGCTGACTCTGTAATGATGAAACAAAAGTACCTTGAATGGGCTTATAGGACAGGTGGCTATAAGAAAGCCAGAAAAGTCTTTACCAGGTTAGTGAACTTCATTTTTGGAACAAACACCAGAATTATTAACACACACACACACAAAAGCCCCATTGTTAAGCTACATTCACATGCCTGCTTTCTGTTCTAGCTTGCATGAAAGCCGGCCATTTTCACTTGAGTTCTTCAAGAAGATGATTGAGATAGAAAAGGAGCAAGTAAGTGTTAAGCGTATCTCAGGGCTGACTTATTTTAGGTTGTGTGTTAATGTCTTTAGAGGTATGTACAGATGCAAACTTTGTAGAGAGCTGGGTGGATGTGGGGGAACTCCATTGGGCATGATGGAAATAGTAGAGATGGAAACTTGGGGGAGGAAATTGGCAAGGGAGAAAGCACAGAGGGGTTGGAGAGGCCTGGAGGGCTACAAGATGGGGGAAGGAAGGAAGATGGGGGAAGGAAAAGAGTTACATGGCCAGGGGCCGAAAACTCCTCATGACTTACTGCCCAAAACGTGCCACGGCCATTTCTGTCTACCTTACCCTCAGGCAGCTGATTCTGTGAACAGAAGTGAAATAAGGCTGCATAGATCTAACAAGGTCTTCATTGATTGGTAGTACAGTCCTCAGCTAAGTGACATCCTTCTAAACCCATTAAGTTAAACATGCCATTCCAGTTGTATTATTGCTGTGATGCATTGATAGTGCAATACCCAGCCAATGTCCAGATGTAACCCCAGGCTTTCAATTGAGTTTCATCCCCTTGTGCAGTTTTCTCCCCAGTTTTGTTCTGCTTGATTTTATGCTGCTGTTTTAAAATTGTTTTCTATTACTGCCATTTTAGTTTTATTCAACCACTTAATTGCAAGGTATTTTGATTTAAAATAGTATATATATTTTTATTTTAGCTGCCTCCAGCAGATTCTGGAGAGTACAATATACAAATCTTTCAAATATTTGTTTGCCTAGATTTGCATTAGATAAACAATAGTTCTTAAAGGTGGTGAGGGGGAAAGGGGATCATGCATTTTTTAGATGTTGCTTATATGCACTGTAGCAAGTATTATCCTGGAGGCATAGGGCAAATGTATGGCCAGGGTCCAGCTTACCTAAGAGATCGTCTTTCCCCATATATTCCCTCAAGGGCACTACGGTCGGGGAGTCAACATCTCCTGTTTATTCCAGGCCCCAGGGACATCAAATTTGCTGCTACTAGGGCCAGGGCTTTCTCAGTGGCAGCTCCTACCTGGTGGAATGAGCTCCCAGAGGAGATCCGGGCCCTGTGGGACCTTTCGCAGTTCCGCAGGGCCTGTAAGACGGAGCTCTTCTGCCAGGCTTTTGAGTAGGAGCCGCCGCCACTACTATTCCACCTTCGTTATTTCTACATCATCGCACCCCCCACCACCATCCATGTGGGTACCATCGGGGTGCGAGATGACCCTGGATTGAGAAGGGATGACAGTGCTACTGGAACATACATTGGTTTGGAATTAACTCCATCTTGGGATAAATGATTGATGTGATATCTAGAGCACCAATATTTTATTCAATTGTATTATATTGTTTTATATTGTTTTTATCTGTTTTAATGTTGGCATTCATGCCATCTTGTTAGCTGCCCTGAGCCTTCAGGGAGGGTGCGGTATAAATCTAATAAATAAATAAATAAAATTACTTGGCACAGCACATTCAGTAGCCGAATGCTAAGTATTTCTTGCTCCTTTTTTCCCTTTTGAAGGAATCTTGTAAAATGGTCAATATCCGAGAATATTATGAACGTGCCTTGCGAGAGTTTGGTGCCACAGAACCTGGTAAGAACTCTTTGTTTCAGTGGGGTTTAATCAGTAGTTGGTCTCCCTTTTTTTCCTTTCCCTGAATCTTGGCTAGAGATACTAACTTTAAAATGCTTAGACATTCTATTGTGATGTTCTTTGAGGGATGCATTGGCCCAAATGACATCACATGTGTTTTAAAAACAAACAGATACACATGTTTAAAAATATATGATTGTATATGGAACAGAGATTAGCCAGGTAGATTGGTAGGCAATCCATCAAGCAAACCATCAGATTAAATCATCAGATTAAGCATCCCTGCTTAAGCCTGAGGCCTAATGTGGGGTTGGCTGTGAGACCGTGGCAGCCATCTCTATCTAAATAAGCAATTCAGTGTGCAAAAGTGGAAAGATGAGGTATTTCACCATCAGGAGGGTGCTGGTAGCTATTGGTTTGTGAATTTAGCCCAATGGCTACACATTGGTGCTGTGATGGACCCCTGTTGCTTCCAAACTCCCAGGCAGATTTGTCCTGCCAAAATTGAGTTCCATTCTGTTTCTGAGCCGCCTCTCAGTAGTGTGTATTGCTTCTTTGTCATAAAAGACTTGACTGTCCCTCCCTTTGTCAAAGAGTTCGTTTGGCTTTGGACCCAGCACAGGAACTTGAGGGGAAAACAGGAGCCCTTTTGTCTTAAACCCTTTGAAATGGCATTGGAGACTGTATAACTTTCAAAATAGAATAAAAGATATTTATTTAACAGGCAGGGAATATATATAGGAGAAGTCAAGGTTTAGAAATACTGAGGTAAAAGTTATATTTTGTACTGGAACGAATACTTAAGACAAACAAATGTGTTGTAGCTTATTTTCAGAGATTTCTAGATCTTTTCAGTGAGAGGTATTTGCTTAGTATAATTCAGCAGTTTCAATATTAGTTCACAGAGTTTCCTGGAGATTTGCTGTTTCTTAGAGTATCTAACTTTCTCCCTTTCGAAATCACAGTTTCCCACTAATTCTGGAGGTGCCTAAAGCCACAGACCAGGTTTCTCCCCAGATCTCAACCCCTTTTTAATTGGCAGAAATTATTCTTCTTTTTCCTAAGAAGCAATAACCCTTTTCTGTTTGGCTTTATTGAGAGTTACAGCCTAACAACCCAGTCACCCTTGCCAAATCTCTCTTCCAGTACTGATGTCTGTGTAAAAGAGTTTTTTAGCTTTCTCGACTTAGAATCACAATTCTTTCTCAGAGTAGCTTTTATTCAATTAGGGCAAAGGAGTCTCTTCTCTCAGAAGAAGAACCTGTCTGACTAATCCTGTCAGAACCACTGACTCCAGCTGTCTCTCTGTCAGAAGCCAACTCACTGGCTTGCTGACTCCAGATGAAAAGCCTTTTTCCCTCCAGTACACAGTTGATCTTATACTTTCTCTCAGCTGATGCTGCAGCCTATCAAACAAGCTGTCCACTCCGGGGAAGGTTAGCTCTTTACCTCCCAGGCTCTCTGAACTAGCAGCATTTTAAAACTTGCTTTTTAGGTGTAATCCATCACAGCTGCCCACTGCGTTCTTCTGTTAGTGCTGCATCAACATACAATATTACAATACAGTTCGGTATTATGAGGAACACACACTGTAAACACTTTGTGCTCTCAGTCCCCCTAATAAATAAGTGAGGTTTGGTGATAGTGTTTGGTTAGCTTACGATATCAAAGTGAGAGATCTTAATGGAGGGTGTGAGGTATTTAACAGCAACAATCTCCCTTTCTTCCTATTATTTTTTTGACCAAAATAATGTGGGGATAGCAGGTCAGCTTCAGGGAAGGGGGGAGGGAAAGAGAGCAAATTCTTTCATCTTTCTCATGGATAACTGTCCTTGTTCCAGTCAAGACAGTGTGTCACTGTGCAGCTTGTATCTTTCTCTTTCTTGAAACAAGGAATGATCAATGCAGAATGACTAGGGTGCAATTTCCTCTTAACTAAGGAATAAAAAAAATGAAGATGCCTCTTGTTTTGAATATCTGTTTAGCAATATCTGTTTTCACCCCCTTTTGTTTTTATTTTTGGTAGCCTCATTTAATGTTAATAGAAAGCAAATTTGCATATTTTTCAATAAAAACATGTGTGTAATATTTGTTCTTGTCTTGCGTCTCTCAAACATCTGATGTTTATTCTATGTGGCTCTTATGTTAAGCAAGTTTGGCCACCCCTGCTATAGTGTAACATGTTTGTTGGAGAAACATACAGGAATTGGGGAAATTGAATGATTATCAAGCTGTGATAGCTGCTGCATCCACATTCCCTTTTCTTCTACAGATTGCCTAATTTTCCAAAAGGGAGGCAATGGGTTCTTTGGCAGTGATGGGGGTAACCCTTTGCAGACACCAAAATTCTGCAACAATATTTTCTAGTTGCAAACTGTGTGGATCTGATGCACAGGACCATACCCTGCTAGTATTTTTGCACACAATAGCATCTTCTTTAGCATTTCCATAATTATAATATTACCATACTTTCTTTTTCCTTTTGAAGATCTGTGGTTGGCCTACATCAGAGAAGAGCTGAGTTCCCAAGGCAAACCTGAGAACTGTGGCACTATTTACTGGAGAGCTATGAAAATGTTGCAAGGAGAACAAGTGGAAAATTTTATTTCAAAGTACACATTGCTGCAAACTGGACATCTGTGAAAAATGTAGTTGCATCTGTGTCTTGGAGGACAAGCATTGAAGGACTAAATTATTCTATATTTCATACTCCCCACCCACCCCCAAGCAAAAATATCTGTTTCTGGTCTTGTAGATTTATGTGCATTGGTGATTTTTCATTGGATCAACACTTATATTCAACATGGCGTACTGAATATCCAGTGGCTTGAATGCAGCAACCTAATGACATTGGCAGGGTGTATGTGGAAGAAAATTATTTCATCTTGGCATAGAACTGTATGGCGTTCAGCCCTATACATCGAGGGATGCAAAAAAGTTGGTACACTTGACTGTACCAACCATTTTGAGAAGAGTGCCAAATGTCTCATGGCCAGATCTCAGTTCAGAGGGCATGGGAACACATCTGGAAACAAATACTTCTTCAGCTGTCATGAGTGTTAGGCTGTACAGGGCCTTACAAGCTAAAAACAGCACGGTTAATCTAGTCCGTGAACTAATGGGCAATCATTTAAATAGTCTGAAAACAAGCATAATGTGCTACCTGTGGTCAACCTTGTGCCTCAGGCTGACTGTTGTGTTTTGAATCGATGGAAGTTGCCCATCAGTCTCCAGGGGAACCCCATAGAAAGTGCATTTTAATAATCAAGCTGAGGTTGCAGGGGCAAATGGGGGCAAGTGTGTATTTCTAGGACAGGATTCAGCTGGTACATCAGCTGAAGCTGGAGAAAAGCTGCTACCTATGAATCCAGGACTAGGAAGCTGTTCCTTTGGTGGGGATGATAACTCTATTCAGAAAAGGCTAGATAAGGGGTTGGGATGTCCTCCTGAATATCATACCAGGGTGGTCCACGATCCCTTTTTACAGTTGATCTTGGAATTGTAAAAAAAGTTTTCAGTAATTCCAGTAACTGGGAAAATTTTTAAGAGTACTATCTATAGGTCCTGAAATAATCCTATTCCTTAGTCAACATCGGAAAGTTCAACATTAACTGGAGTTGTTGAGCCAATTTTGGGGACCATTTCCTGGCCCTAAGATTGGGAATACATCCTTTCATAACATTTGTAATGGACCAATGAGCAGAACTGTGTAACACCTAATCCATACAATCTCTGCAGAAGGAGGGCATGGTACTGAAGTTCAGGAGCATCAGCCAGCAAGATAATGGCTGTTTCAGTCCCAAACTCTGGCTAGTGACTGTAATGAAATTGACCCAGATAACCTCCTTCAGCCAGAAGTATCTGAATGGTGGCAGGACATAAGTACTGCTTGGAAAGGGTGTCCAGGTCTGAAATGTATTTGAAGTATAAATGCAGAACTACCAGTTATTCTCAAAAGTTTCTTCTTTTTTGTCTTGTAGTTGTAAAGTCAAATTGTCCATTTCTGCTGCTTCTAAGAGTTTATAAATCATTTCTTCTTTTGTTGGGTTTTCTTCTTTTTTCCAATACTTGGCAGACAGTATCCTAGCTGTTGTTACAACATGTATAATCATATAAACATCTGCTTTCTTGTAATTTTGTGGTACAATATTTAATAAAAATAATTCTGGAATAAATGGCAAACTTGTATCTAATTTTTTTTTGGCAATATCTCATGTATCCAAATCCAATACTTTTTAGCAACCTTACATGTCCACCAACGCTATGCTTACATTTCCAACATACATTCAACATGTTTGGATACCATTTTGCTAGATTTTCAGGTGTCATATGCCATCTATTAAACATTTTATATATGTTCTCTTTGAATGTAGTAGCTTTTGTAATTTTCATATTTATCTTCCATACCTTAGACCATTGCTCTAATTGTATGTTGTGACCTAAGTTTTGTGCTCACTTAACCATTGATTCTTTAACTATCTCATCTTGCATTTTCATATCTAATAGCAAAGTATAAAAACGTTTTATATATTTCCCATCAAAGCACAACAAAATTTTATCTAGTTCAGAAGGTATATCGCAAAACCCTGTGGATTTATCCTTTACATATCTAGAATTCAGTTGTGCTCTTTCCCACCAATTTAAGTTAATGTCTTTTTTATTTAGGTTATCTTGCTGTAATAGTTTATTCCGGTTATCTAGGAGGTCTTCATACCTCCATAGTAATTCTTGCGTAAATATCGAAGGGTTTGTAAAGGCCTCTAGTGGTGAAACCCAGTTTGGAATTTGAGTATAATACCTCTTCTGGATCTCTTCCCAAATCTTTAGTAATGATGCTCTTATCATATGTTGTTTGAAGTATTTATGGTTTTCACTTTCGGTACCAGACAAAAGCATGCCATCCTAGCATTAAATCATGTCCTCCTAACTTTAATAATCTTGAGTTTTCCAATGTAACCCATTCTTTCAGCCATGTCAGGGCTGCTGCTTTATAGTATAACTGCCAATCTGATAGTGCGAAGCCTCCTCTATCTTTTGTGTCTTGCAAGGCTTTCAATTTAATTCTAGGTTTTCTGCCTTGCCAAATAAATTGTCTCACAAGCTTATCCATTACTTTTTAAAACTTTCGATTTCTTAAAATTGGTATTGTTTGGAATAGGAATATCAGTCTCAGTAGTATATTCATCTTCACAGTAGCAATTCTTCCCATAAATGACAACTGTAAATGTTTCCAGCTTTCTAAATCTTTTTTTATGGTTGATAGCAGTTTCATATAGTTGTCTTTTAACAAAGAGCTGCATCTGTTAGAATTATTCCTAAATATTTTATTTTCTTCTGCACTTCCATCCCCGAGTGTTCTTGTAGACTCTGTATCTGTTCTGTGGCACAATTCTTTGTTAATATTTTTGTTTTCCTGAAATTAATTTTAAACCTGCAACTTGTCCATATTCTCTTATCAAGTCCAAGAGTTGAGTACTAGATGATTGTGGATACCAAGTCATCTGCAAATGCTTGTAGCGTATACTCTTCGCCTTTAATTTTAAGTCCTTTAATTGCTGTACTAGTTCTTATAAAGCCAGAAAATCTTGAATGTCTCACCATTAGCCCCACTAAGATTTGTAGATTGCTTCGGGGAGGGGGTATGGGCCAGCCTTGGTTGAGAATGGTTAGAGCAGTAATTCTATTTCATGTTGAATATCACAGTTGCTGTCTTAATAGCAAGCCTTGGAATGCCTTCTAGTAACAAAAGGTTTTCTTCTTGAATCACTAAGCCATGCAACAAATATGATCAGAATTATTATTAAAATTGTTACAGTGCCAGTGTAGTGGTTAGAATGTCACACTAGGACCTGGGAGACTCAATATTGAATCCCCAAACTGCTATGGAAGCTTGCAGAGAGACATTGAGCCTGCCACTCTCACACTAACCTACCTCAAAGGGTTGTTGTGAGGATAAGATTAAGAGGAGAACAATGAAAAACACTTTGAAAGGTGGGGTATAATTTAAGTAAATAAAACTATCACATTCACATAACTAGCTTCAGTTTTTCCAGTGGTGCCAAAAAGGAATTTTCTCTGCAGGATCATCATGATTTCCAGTCCATTACATCACTCAAGCCAATGTTGTTACCTGCAAATAAGAACTAATCATTTTTATGGGTAGCAAGGGAAGATTAAAGTCTCAGCTCAAAGCACACCTGATTATAAGCATTTGGTTTTTAAATGGAATGGCTCTAAAGGTTTGCCTGGCATATAATCCTGAGCAATGTATTATATGCAGTGTATTGCATTTCTAATTAACAGAGTGGTAGCAGATAATGTAGAACTCCAAATACAAATGGGAAATTCAAGCTTGACTCTCAGAGTGGACAGATAGTACAAAATAACATAATATATACAAATGCACAATCACATGGGCAGACATGCCGAGATTTCCCCAAGCATCTCTATCAGCCAGCCATTAACAGCGCCAAACTAAGCAGGGTTATACCATCCTAAACCCCCTTGAGTTCAACAGAAGGATTTAACTCTGTTTAGGATTGCACCATTTGTCATGTTTGTTTGCCACTGATTGCCTTCAAGCTGGTTTCTGGGGGATTCTGGTCTCACCCTCAGCTCCATAGCTGTCTGTCCTTTCCTACGTTTTTGACAGCTCTGTTAGCCACTATAAATTTTGCAGTGTAAAGTGAAACCTTAGACTGGATATGAGGAATTAATATGGAGTTTTCCAAAGGCTGCTTCCATCTTTCTCCTCCAAGGAGCTCAAAGCAGTGTACACTCATGTAGTTACCAGCCTCAAGGGAGGGCCTGGAGTTCTCCTGGAAATACAAGTGATCTCCCGTATGGCGGAGATCAGTTCCCCCTGACAAAAAGGCAGTATCAGAGGATAGACTCTATGGCATCATATCCCCACTGAGCTCCCTCCCCGGGCACCCCCCCCCCAAATCTCTAGGATTTTCCCAAACCAGAATTGGTAACCCTACTTGCTAATTTTATTCTTGCAGGAACCTTATGAAGTAGATGAGGTTGAGAGATAGCGACTGGCCCAACGTCACCCATGCTGGAGTGAGCAACCCTGACTCAGCTTGCCTGCACGTTGGGGGGGTGCTATATCACTCTTAGTATGTATAGTTGTTATCTCCTTGAATGGGATGCCTCTCTTTGTCTTAGCCTGGGAGCTGCCCTCTGATCCCTTCTCTGGCTTTGCCCTCTCACTGGCTTCAATTGTCCTTCCATGGAGACACATGTCTCTGCAGGTCTCTCCTGTAGAAACAGTGCCCTCATGCTCCCACACATGTGATGCCGGACTAGCTGGCCATTTGTGATAGGGAAAGTACCGTACTCTTTAGAGTAGGCTTCTCTCTACTTTTGACTGCAACCTGAATAAGAACTGGATCTACTTGAATAAATGTAAGCTTACCTTTTTTGCGATATACTTCTCGGGAGAGTCATTTACTGCACTCAGTATCACACTTCTATGACTCTGCAAACCTCTGCTATATTAACCAAATATCTCAATAACCCAATGAGTTTCATGATAAGAGCAGGGATTTGAAGGTAGGGCTCCTGGATGCTAGTCTGACACTCTGTTATATCGTATTGGTGATTCTATGTCATTTTACTCATGATCACTTCCGTACATTTCTCCTTCTGTATTTGATATTTACTCATTATCCAAATTAGCTGTGTTCACAGGTAAAGGTTCCCTTGCTCGAAAGCCAGTCGAGTCCGACTCTAGGGTTGCGGTGCTCAGCTCCGTTTCAAAGCCAAAGAGCCAGCGCTGTCCGAAGACGTTTCCGTGGTCATGTGGCCGGCATGACTAAACACCAAGGTGCACGGAACGCTGTTACCCTCCCACCGAAGTGGTACCTATTTATCTACTTGCAATTTCTTGCTTTCGAACTGCTAGGTTGGCAGGAGCTGGAACTAGAGACGGGAGCTCACTCCGTCATGCGGCAACTCGGATCTCGAACTGCTGAACTACTGACCTTCCACAGCCTGCAGTTCAGCATCTTAACCACTTGAGCCACCACAGCTCAAGTGTTCACAAGGTTTGGTTAAATTCAGAATACTGAAAAGTGTCCCATACACTACAAGCCACACCTGTTTATCAGTTACAACTCTGTCTTCTACCACATAATTCCAAAAGGACTGTCTTGTCTCTTCTTCGTGCGCAGAAAACATTTGACAGGAGACAGAAAACAAGGCATCCGGTTGTCTTTCAATACACTACTTATTTTACTTGGTCATATCTTAACAGGAGGCCTGGATTGTTCCCCCCTCCTCCCATCCTGGTATTGGATTTTTCTGGCTCATGAGCTACTGATTAAGTAATCTACACAGATTCTGACAGGCAAAACTGTAGTAGTATAGTCTTCAAATCTAGAAACAACAAAAAAAAGTGGACTTTGTCCCTTTCATTGTTAAAACTCTAAGATTTTCTCCTGTCAGATGGGGATGTGTAAAGATATTTTGTGAAAAGCTGTATGGCCATACTGTTACAAAATGGCCTAATGATGTTTAGCATTGCCACCCTCCAGGTGGCACCTGGAGATCTCATAGAATCATAGAATCACAGAGGTGGAAGGGGCCATGCAGGCCATCAACCCCCTCCCCATTACAGGATCAGCCACTATTACAGTTGATCTCCAGACAACCAGGATCCCCCAGAGAAAATGGCTGCTTTGGAGGGTGGACTGTATGGCATTATAACCTGCTGAGCTTTCCCCCTCCTTAAATCCCACCCTCCCCAGGCTCCACCCCCAAAATCTCCAGGTATTGCACAACCCAGAGCCGGCAACCCTATATTCCTGAAAGATTATCATGAAAATAGGTGCTTGTTTATTAAGGTAGACAAGATTGCTGAATGTGCGCAGCAGCCATTTGGGTTTTGGACTTGGGGAGGGGACCAGGCTGATTTTGCAGTGAATTTGGAGCAATTAGGATGCATATTTCTGCAGGCACCCACAAACACACAATCCACAACTGCCTAGTAGAGAACGAGTGTGGTGTAATGGTCAGACTAGGATCTGGGAGACCCAGGTTCAAATCCTCACTCTATCATGGAAATTTGCTGGGTGACTGTAGGCCACTCACACACTCTTAGCCTAAACTGTCTCACAGGGTTGTTAAGATGATATAATAGAGCAGAGGAGAACAACACCAGCCACTTTCTGTTGGGGAGAAAGGTGGGATATAAATGAAGACAAGAAATTTTAAAAGTCAAGTTATTCATTTCAAAACAATCCAGAAACACCAGCAGTTTTCATTCTTCTCTCTTCAAAATAACATTTGCCCTGTAAACTTCGTTGCTTAGAGCTTCACATTACTCTGGGAAGAAAGGGTACAGGAAAATACATATGACTAGGAATAAGGCCTGTTGTGGAAATAAATACAAGCTCTAGAAGGAGGCGCTGGGCAGGCGCCATGGCCTTGGGCACTCAGCGTCAATTTGCTGTGGTGACCTCAGCAGGGTATAATGACACCGAGCTTACCATTTTCTCCAGGGGAACTGATCTCTGCCATCTGAAGAGCAGTTGTAATTCTGAGTGATCTCCAGCTCTCTCCTGGCAGGTTAGGCTGAAAGTCTGTGAGTGGTCTGAAATCACCCAATCAGCTTCCACAGGAAGAACGTGGGTCTGGAAGACCCTGCTCTGAAGCGCTAACTACTACCTCACACTGGCTGTCTTGGGGGGGGGGGCACCTCAGTAGAGTATAATGACACAGAGCCCACCATTTTCTCCAGGAGAACTGATCTTTGCCATCTGGAGAGCAGTTGTAATTGAGTCATCTCCAGCCCTCACCTGGAGATTGGCTACAATGGTCCCCCAGGAGAAAATGGCTGGTTTGGAGGGTGGAGTCTATGGCATTGTGCCTGTTTGATATCCCACCCCTCCTCAGACCCTACCCACTTCAGGCTACACCCCTAAAATCTCTTGGAATTCCCCAACCTGGAGGTGGCAACCCAATCTCCTTCCCAACCAACCACCAACCTACCATTATCTGCCCTTCTGACTTCCCCCCCCAGCCTCTGCCTAGGAAAACTAATCTTTCTCTGCAGGACCCAAGCAGGAGGGAAGCAACCTCAGCAGGGTATCACTATACAGAGTCCACCCTGCAGAGCACATACATATGAGATTCAGCATCTAGGAGCTTTGCAATCTTTTCTGGTACTTGCCGTACCAATGGAGGCACATCCAGTGCAAATGTTGTGATATAGCTGGCACCAATGTTCCCTCTAAGTGGTAGAGTCTTGTGAGCAGAAATTCTACTTTGTGAGCTACTGGCATTAAAGTTGTGAGCGAGCGATTTGGCTACTGCATAAATTAGTTTGCTCTGGAGCCATTCTTCCTGAGCTAAGACAAAAATGTGTGAGTTGGAGGCTAAAAAATTGTGAGCTAGCTCACACTAACTCAGCTTAGATGGAACACTGGTTGGCACACAGCATTGCCTACACTATAGCTTGCCTTGCTGCAACTTGTCCCTGAGACATCCCTTCCTTTTCAGGATATAATGTTGCATCAGGAATAGACTGAAGTCATAAAGAATTATGAGTTTGAAGAGACCTTGGACATCACCTACTCCGGCCCCCTACAGAGTCCAATGGCTGGAATCATATGCACCCTGCGGGGTTAGTACCACTGAACTCAACGGGAATAAAGGCTGCTCTAACACATTCAACTGTGAGGGATGGTAGAGCAGAGGGACTTGCCGAAGGAAGCAATTACACTTTTCAGAATTTCTCTATCTTAATCATCCCCTGCAAATGGTAAACAAGCACAGCATGCTAAAAGCTCAACGGCATTTTTTCCCTCCCGTCTGTGCGTGCTTAACAAGCAGGAACTTTGAGATGGGAAAGCATATATATTTTTTAATGTGGCCTTTCCACCTGCAGTCTGTCTGTCTGAAGTGTGGTGCAGCTAATTTTACCACCTCAGAATGCCATCGCCTTTTTGCATTGCGCATGTGGGCAATGCCTCACTTCCAAACAAGTATATAAATCACCCGTCTCTCCCATAACAAGGGGCAGCCCACGGGCTAACCAACAGCGCGTCCCCTTGCAGAGAAGCTGCACGAGTCCTCAGACAAATGCCGCGTTCTTCCTCCCCAGGCGCTGATTGGCTGGCTCCGGCACAGCGGCTCGTCGGCTGAGCACGTGACGCGTGTGGTAGCCTGGCCGGCGGCGCTGTAGCCGAGGTCTGAAGAGGGGGCTAAGGGGAGTCTCTGCTGTCCGGGCATGGAGGCGACCGGACAGCAGGATCCCCCAGGGGATATCCCAGGCCAGAGGGTGAGGAAAGAGGCAGCGGGTGGAGGGATCCCGTAGAGTGTGTGGGTGTGTGGGGCTCGGAACAGCCTGTGGTTTGAGGCAAAACGAAATGGGAGTGAGTGCAGTGCGGCGGTGTAAATACTTAAACAATCTTTATTCCAGCGCTCACTTCGTCACGTCAGGTGCTTTGTGTGCTTGAGTATCTCAGGTGTGAAGCAGCTGCCACCCTGAGTAGGTTTACTTGGAAGTAAGGACATCTTTTTTTTTTTTAAAGAACACGTACAGCAAGTTTGTTTTCAAATCGTTCCTCGCTTCGTCTTGAGCTCGGAGGGCTCTCATTCCCACGGGTTCCTAAGGTCCTTGTCTGCTTCAGCGTTGAGTGGCACGGGGTAGAATTTGAATGGCTGGTGTCTCGGTTGACCCCCCCCCCCCCCCCCCGGGGGGGCCCCCCCCGCAGGGATATGGTGAATTTTAAGGTGTTTTCGTAAAGATGAATGCAAACAAAGGCTAATGAGGCTACCGTACGATTCTGGAATACACATTCTCCCTCCCCGCGCGATGAAACATGTTGGTAAAAAAATAAAATCAAATTCAGTGTAGCCTCAAACGTGCGTCTGGAATAGCTCTGTTATGGGGTTGGTGCTTGCCTGTGGGCTAGATTAAATCTGTGTCCTCCAGATCTAGCAGTGAGCAATTGGAAGAAACTTGCATTATTATATGGAGCCTGCAGTCAAGTAATACTGCAGTATTGGAAGTAAATCTGTTGAAACTCGGTGGGACTTGCTTCTTAGAAAACATGCATAGGATTATGATTTAAATCTTTGCCCTTTTTTCTGAAAAGAGGAAAGAATGATACGGAAAACAAACATAATATTCCTGAAACAATGGGCAATTCCAGTAGGTAGCTGTATTGCTTCCCAGGCTGATTCATGATACAGAAAGCAGCTGAAAACATACTCTTAATTGCTTAAGGCAGAGGTCTGATGAGGACCCCTAGAAAATCTCTTATAGGGACCTGGTGCATTGCAGAGGAGTCTGAAGTATGTTGTAGGATGTGTACTGTGCATGTGCAGGGCACCTACTCCTTGAGCCTCATACACATAAACTGAAAGTGCACTCCAGAATACACCTGACACTATTGCTGTGCACATTGCACCACAATACTGGTAGAGACAAAGGTGGTTGTAAAAATATGTTATTTTGCCATCAGTTTGAAGCCCTTGATTTAACTTACAAGGAACCCCAGTATGAAAATCACTGCTGGAAAGCTTTGTAGAAGAATAGTTCTTAAAGAGTAAACCACATGTTTCTAAGAGGTCTCAATCCATGATTTCACATAAAGGGAAGGTTGATACTGAAACTACTCTTGAGGTTTTTAAAAATCTAACTCCAGGTGTTTTATTAAGCTGTCTTTCAGTAACTTTTTCTGTGGAACAATATTAGATACATTAATACAGGAGTTAGAGTAAACCAATAACAGTTTTGAACAGCAGTGGCAAAGTTGCAACATTCAGCAATCAACAACTATTCTGTATAGGATGGTTTTCAAAAGCCCCCAACCGCCAGCTCTTATCTTAACCACAGTGACCATAGAAGACCATAGAACACTTTTATATTCCTGACTGCCTTTTGCAGATTTTAAGAACAGTTCCCCCTTTATATTTTGCATGCCATTTTCAAATGCCTTCTTCCTAGATGACGTTTTCAAAACCTGTCTTTCTGTTTTATTTATTTTGAGCTGAATTGCATGAATCCATGTCTGATTTACTGTGATCTAATCAGCAAAATATTACATCACTTGATCACTTTTAAAATCTCAGTTTCTGGAGTTGCTTTATAGTTCCTAAACAAGCTGGACTTGCATGAAGTTCTTCTAAAATACCAAATGAAAATCACTAGCTCTTCTATAGTCTATATGTTATTGTACTACTGGCAGTGAAGCATCTGAATCAGATTAGCTTAAATTTATTCTATGGAACATTTGTGCTGTATAGTCTGTGGAATGAACGTGACAGAATGTGTGCATTTCCACTCAGAAAAAGAAGGGAAAGCTGTCTTTGGGATCAAATATCACACAATCCCTGTGGACAGGAATGGCTTTGAAAGGCTGCCTGGGAAGAAATCACATAAGAAGTTCCCTTATGGATCAGACCAGTAGTGTGTCTGGTTCAGAATCCTTATCCTTGTGATGACCAACTGGTTGCCCTGGAGGGTCAACAAATAAGGTATGAAGGTTAAAACCTTCCCCTGATGTTGTGCTGGTATACACAGCTTGGCTGCCTCTGTATATAGAGGTTCCCCTTGTAGTCACAGAAAGTAGGAAAACTAGGGCCTGGTAGCCCGGAAGCAAAGTGTGTGAAAGAAGTGTTTAAAGAAGGTAATCAGTTGAACAGTCAAGTCTGAACAACATGGCTGGAGTGTTTTTGGTATAGTTTGGTGTAATGGTTAAGAGCGGTGGACTCTAATTTGGAGAACCGGGTTTGATTCCCCACTCCTCCCCTTGCAGCTGCTGGATGACCTTGGAGAAGCCATAGTTCTGTCAGAGCTGTTCTTGAAAGAGCTCTCTCAGCCCCACCTACCTCATAGGATGTCTGTTGTGGGGAGGGGAAGGCAATTGTAAGCCGCTCTGAGACTCCGAGTGAAGGGTGGGGTATAAATCCAACTCTTCTTGTTTTGGATAAACCTGGGAAATCGTTGCTTTAGAGGTAAAGGCCTTTGGCATACTTCTAGTTTCTGAGCTTGAGGAAGCAAATATTCAATGCCCTTCTACTCCTGGCAATGAAAAGGTTCTCCTTTAAGGCAGGTCTTGAGAGTAGTAGGAGGTGAGTGACTGCATTTCCAAGCCCATGTTGGAAATCCTCTTCAGTCAGCAGTTTACTGAGTAGCTTATTAGGTCATGGTCATGACATTAACACAAAAATAAGCGAAAATTGGTCACATAACTCAATAGCATAAAAAGAGTGATATGATAACTAAAACCTCCGAAACATTGGAACTCCCTCCTCAGGGAGATTCGTTCCTGCCTTCCTCTGTTGTCGTCTTCCACCAGCAGGCAAAAGACTCTTTTTGTTTTGTTTTATGTTCCCCCAATAACTGTTACTGGCCCTCCTCCTTGGTTTTGGTGTTGTCTGTGTTTATATATTTCTATTGAATTGTTTTATGTATACTTTATATTTTAAATATTGTTTTGATGCTCACTGTCTTGGGGATCTTATTTGGGTGGAAAGGTGGTATGAATGTGGTTTTTTAAAAAATAATAATACAATTTACAATCCACAGCATAAACCTTCACTTCCTGTACTTTGCTTGTACTGTATGTTTAGGTTTTCTGAAGGTACAGTGTTAGAAATCAAGGTTCAGTCCCATATAATTCCTGTGAGGAGATATTACTTAAACAAGCATTTTTGCCCTGCAGACAGAAGTTGACGCATCTGCTGCCACTGGACAGGGGGAAGTGGTGAAGAGGGTGACTTTCAATTGGAAACCTAGAAAAGGTATTTTATGATGAGTTGGCAATTTTTGCGATAGAAAAGAGTACATAACCATGGCAGAAGGATCCATAGCTCAGTAGATGAACAGATACTTTGTATATGTCTTGGATAAAATCCACCTATTGGGAAGCTGGGCTGAAAGATTTTTACAGTTCCTTCTATTGTAATGTAAAAGTGAGAATTGTGATACAGTAGCCAAAATAAATGCTATTCTAAAGAGAGAGAGATGGCGTTTAATATATGACTGGTAACAATAATGCTCTTTTTAATAGTGTGTCATATCCCAAAAAAAATCAATTTTGGATTAAGTAGACATAAGGCCATATTTTCTTTAGAATTCTTGTAAATATAGACCACATAAATGGAGCAAGGAGGAGAGGGAAATAGATAATAATTTTTTTAAAAAACCCTACCCGTGGAGGGAAAGAATAGTGCATTGTAGAAGGTGCAGTATAGTAGTTTAATTATGTAATCAAGAATACAGGCAAGTAAAAATTTGGGTTATTTAAACAGATCTTACAGCGATGGATTTAGAAAACATACTAAGGAGATTAGAAGACTTGTAAATATTAATCCTTGAGAAAAGGAAGCTATCAGGTCTGGGTTTTTAATCTGTAAATATTTCTTATGGTTGTATCAAAGAAGATGGAGAGCGATTGTTTTCTGCAGCTCATCTGGAGACACGAGGAAGTATCTTAACTGGTAAGTTCCTTTAGTCCGTTAAACTACTCTCTTTCTGTATTGTTCACTTTAATTTGCTAGTGGTTTTTTCTTTATAGACGTAGAAGACAGTTTGGCAGAGGAAGACGAAATCATTCTTGAGGACATCAAAGATCTGGATGATGAAGAATTGGAGAATGAAGCCTACAATGTCCCCACAGATACAGCTTTTCCTGAGAAGAACCCGACATCCCATTATGAGGCAGAAGACTGGGATAAAGAACTGGCAGAGATAGAATACAATAACAGTCCTTATGGTAGGTCTGTGGGGGCCGCCATATGCTTTCTTCGAGCAAGTGCTGGGTTCGGTGTTAGGGGAGAGCAGCATTATGGGAAGATATTTATGGAATGTGCTTTTGAAGCTGACTGTGAGCCTTTTCTGAACTCAGCTGAGAGAAACAGTAGATTTTTAAAAGCAAGAAGTGAAAGGGACAAAGAGTCCCAGGGGATTATTACAGTGTTGAATTGGTAGGAAGGTTAGATAGATAAAGGCGGCAGATTTGCACGTTTATTTACTTCATTTATACCCCGCTTTTCTCCCTGATAGGGACTCTTGAGTGGCTTACATCATTCTCTCCTCCTAAATTTTATTCTCAGCTCCATCTTGACCACTGGAAGATGTAATAGACGCTGTCTGGTTTAATTCCACATTGTGGCACTGTCAGGGCAAGCCTGTGCGGTAGTTTTCTTTGTTCTTTCAGAGCTTTGGTGTTAAGCCCTGAAGAGCAAAGAAGCATCTGTTGATACAGCATTTTCCTGACCTGAAACAGGCCTTGGGAGCTGTTCTTTGCTCCATTGGGAGAACTATTGTGTACTGATGGGCTAAACTTGTTTTGATGGGATGCATGCAGGTTTTCCCAACGGGGTCGATAGCTCCCTCCCCAGGGCTGTTTCAGACCTGGAAAACGGCAGGCTTAAGACCTCTCTCCATGAGAATCTTAAGTTTCAAAAAGGAACTCCAGCATGTGACTAGACCCTGGACAGGCCCAAGAACAGTGTAACATTTAGGTAGGCCCTCAGTGTACACACAGTACAGGAGTGAGATGTGTGTTCAGTCTCACCGAAACCTTTTCATAACTTTATAGGTGCTTTCCTGAGGCCTGGAACCACATGGATATAAACAGTACGATTATGAGGAAGATGGCAGATTTGTGTGCAAGAGACGATAATGCCAAATAACAAAAAAACAGGGAAAGCTGAAGGCTGTAAATGGGTACAGGAAAACTCTGGAGAAGGGAGAGAATGGAGATGGTTCGGGGATGCCAAGGGGAGGTAGTGTGGGGAGGGGGGCTGGACAGAGGTGAGATTCCTTCCTTGTGGATCCCCTATTTGTAAAACCTATAATATCCAGCTACCTATAACTGGTAATTTTCCTGTTCCTTCATGCTAAGTAAAAATGGTCTTCAGACAGTTCTCTGCTGTTGAGTGGATACAACAACCCTTGTAGCATATTGATGATAGCCAACCCCCAGACTAAGAATGATTTGTCCTAAGGGCTTTATGCGGAGATTGAAAAGCATGGGGAACAGGATTGCACCCTGTGGCATAATATGCCCATGTGAAATTTTATATACGTGTCTGAAGTCTTGGTGCACAGTTGTTTTCCATTAGTGTGTAAGAGAAAATGATTTAAAGCACATCTAGTGGACTTGAGCTTAACCTTAGAAATCAATATTTTTCACCCCATTTGTGCTTTTCAGCCCTAGCATTGCCCTGTCTGTCCTTTGACTTCTTTCTGCATCTTTTCCCTTTGCTTTAAAAAGCTGCTGGCTATTTGGAATGAATTGGGAAATGTAAGAAGTCAGCTCTGTGTGCAGTCTACATAGTGCCACTTTGTTTAGCACTGTGATGGCTACAGATTGTGCTTTCCTGGGTTCCTTTCTAGGCCTTTGAGGCACACGCTCTTAGTAGCTTTGTTGTCTTAGGAGGCTTAATACAGGGTTTGATTTCTTCTTCTAAAGCCATTTGACATTCCTGGATGAGTTGCGATTAATTACAAAATAAGCACTTGCACTGATGAATGCTTTCCTATTTATAATAATAAGCTTCTAATCTGCTTGGGCACAAGGAAGAAAAATGTTTGCATGATCTTAAACTTAGAAGGTAAATTTTAGCTCAGTGGGGCTTTCTCTGTACAACGTGTTTAGGATTACTGCTTAAATCCAATGAAACCAAAACATTTTTTTTTAAAGTACTAAGATGACTTCTAAATTATATCTTTAGATTCTGAGGATTTGATCTTCCATGGTAAAATGCAAGACTGGGATCCAGTGGCATTATGTTCTATTAAAGAAGAGCCTCTGTATGACCCAAGCGCCTGCCATGTGGCACCAATGACTCTGAGGCACCGAAAGACCACACCAGTGGATGGCCAGTTTGAGGATGCTGTTGACTGAAGTACTGTGAACATTGCAGTGGAGATTTATTTCTCATGGCACTGACCTGAGAACAATGGGTCAGACCCCACAGTTTGTCAGTGGAAATTGCTGATGGCTGCAGGTCTTCCAGGCTCTTCCCTAGCAGCCATTTCTGACCTTGGGAAAGTTTATTCCTGGGGTTTCAGGACTCTTAATGAATAATAGGCTATTACAGAAATGGCTGCTGGTGGGAGTGAGAAGGCCAGGAATGTTGTGCTGGATCCCGTAAGCACCTTTTATGCTCCATGCTGGGGCTCTCATGTATTATTTTAAAACAACTGCATATCACACTGTTGGAAAGCAGAGAAAGAGGACAGGTGTTGGATCCATGGCAAAAAGTAGCCCTGTTTGATTTAAAGAAAACTGTTCTGGAAATGATTTGGGTTTTATTTCAGTGTTATCAGTGTAATCACTGAGGTCTGCCTGCTATACTGTGCCATCCTCAGCAGAGTTAAACCCTTCTAAGCCCATGCATTTCAGTGCACTTAGAAATACGTCACTCTGCTTAGGATGGCACTGTTACTCTTACTTGTCGTCTTCATACTTTTAATTCTTTTCTTTGACATGGCTGCACTGATCTAATTGTAAATATTTATGTCCATGTTATAAATTCTGTGCTATATAGCTTGTTATATATTTATTTGAAATTGAAGACCCAGCGGCATGCTGGAATGGTGTTTTGTGGCACCTGATGCCCTGAAGAATACATGCTGTTTGCTTTATATATGTTGTATATATATATATATATTATTTAACATGCTTGCCATTATAAATTTGAGAAGTGGCTAACTCAGCATATTGCCGAGCACCTTGTGTCATCCTTGCACTGATTCATACAGACTTAATGGAGGCCTTGACATTGATGGTCAGGTGATTAGTTTTGTAACTATCATCCCCGTATCTCTAACAAATGATAATTCCAGGCTGTCATCAGGAATTTGTCTGGGAAATTGCAGTGGAATAGTGAATGGGATCTGTCTGAACAAGAAAATGTCGCGATCCTGTAAAACAGATACCGGTGCTAAAGGAATGCCAGATTCCTCTGGAAACATTTAATACAGTATTCTGCCTTCCTGTGTCCACCCCCCCCCAAGCTTCTACCCGCTGTTCTCAATCCTTTATTGCATAAGAAATGCTCTCCAATTATAAGGTAGACAGGAGGAGACTAGTAGCCATTTTGGTGACTTCATTTAACATTTTTGTGTGGGACCATTCCAGAGTTTCTGAAAGTTTTTTCAGCACACCTAGTCCTTGAAAGACATGTGGTTCTTGAGATGAACCCGTGCTGTTCCCCTGTGGAGTCAGTGGTGATCCACAAAATCCCGTGCAACAAGGTACTCTTTTCCTCATATCACTTTCCTGTATATCTGTCTCTCTTTTTAAATTTATTTTTAATTAATTTATTTATTTATTCACAGCTGACTTACAGCAACCCATCACAAGGTTTTCAGTGTAAGAGATATTTGGAGGTGGTTTGCCATTGCCTGCCTTTGCATTGTGACCCTGGACTTTGGTGGTCTCCCATCCAAATACTAATCAGGGCCAATGTTCCCTCTAAGCTGTGGAGTCTTGTGAGCAAAAATTCTACTTTGTGAGCTACTGGCATTAAAGTTGTGAGCGAGTGATTCGGCTACTGCATAAATTAGTTTGCTCTGGAGCCATCCTTCCTGAGCTAAGACAAAAATGTGTGAGCTGGAGGCTAAAAAATTGTGAGCTAGCTCACACTAACTCAGCTTACGGGGAACACTGATCAGGGCCAACCCTGCTTAGCTTCCAAGATCAAATGAAATCAGGCTAGCTTGGGCGATAGACTAGATCACCAGATGCTTCCATTTGCATCTGCATTGAGTTTCTGCTTAATTCTCAGCAACTCAAGAAATTCAGCACTGACCAGCTTACAATATTATTTAACATGCCTGTCAATTGTATGTATGAGTGTGTAGACTGACCCTCTCTTCATGGATTGTTATTGTGACCTTTGGTTTTTCTGGCTTACATAGTAAAGCCTGTAGAGGGCAGCACTAATCCAGCCCATAGGTTATTTGCTGTTTCTCAGACCTGCCTTTTTAGGTAGGTGGTTGGTACAGCAGCAAAGCAGTTTAGCCAGAAAAAAACCTTCAGTGCTGAAGAAGGTGAAATTATGGGCCACTGAGGTATTTAAAATGCTGCAAGTTTTTGAAACTTGTCTCCTGTGAAGTTAATTAGGTTTTTTTTAAAAAATCTCAATTTTGTCAAAGGTAATTGGTACCTGGTATTACCTTTAATAACAGCGTTCTGTGCGCCTTGGTGTTTAGTCATGCCGGCCACATGACCACGGAAACGTCTTCGGACAGCGCTGGCTCTTCGGCTTTGAAACGGAGATGAGCACCGCAACCCTAGAGTCGGATTCGACTGGCTTTCGAGCAAGGGAACCTTTACCTTTACCTTTATTACATTTAATGTTTTAAAATATACTGTATGTATTGTCTTCCCTAGCTCGACGAAAGCTATAGCATATAGATCCTCTTCCTTCTCTTCACCTTCCCCCTCACCCCTAGTATAAACCTAAGTCATAGGGAAGGAGGTGGTTGACCTGATCCTTTATACTTATCACACCATGAGTCATTCCTGTCCCACTCTTTAAACAGCTGAACCTGTTGCTGTCAAGGCAAATTTGATAAATATATTCTATTTTCAGGTTAAAGGCCCTGGTAGCAACCAAGGACATGTCACACTGTGATCCCGAGGTGTGTTTATTCAGAAACAAGTGTCACCGAATTCTTTGGGAATTTCTTCCTCTTATGTGTGTTTAGGGTTGCAGCTTAGCTCACAGTTTGTTCCTTTCTCTTCCAGGAAGAACTTTGGGAACTGTAGTTCTGTGCCGGGGCTGAGAGTGGAGGGGCTGAGAGTTGCTGAATGGACATCTCAGAACCCATAAAAACCCACCTACCTTTCCTGTGTGTGTGTTTGTTAAAATTAATACCTGCCACATGGCCTTTTAGCATCTCTCATGGTACCTTACAGCCCATAAAACTACAGTTGCCTTGGAAGTTTTTTACTGAAGAATCAGGATATTAGTATTTTAAAATAAATAAAACCAAATGGACAAATATGGAAACAACTGCTTAATAAAATAAGTGAAAGGCATTATCCTAAAAAAAACAACAACCCACAGTGACCATAAATTTTGCAAATAAAATAATAGTGAAACCTGGATAAAGTGTTAATCTTAGCTTGGTTATTGAAATCACATGGTCTTCCCCAATTTCCTGATGGTTAGACATAAGGGGGCCTGTTGAAATTCAAGAGGGAGTGAATTCCCTAGGGCATCACCACTGAAAAGGTGCCTGGTCCTTGTGCCAGCCCACTTAACCTCAAACTTCACAGGCATTCAGATCAGGGCCCATGTGGTGACCTTAGCACACAACTGTTCCATGAGATACCCTGGGCCTGGACCACTTAAGGCTTTAACTGTTAAATTCAGCACTTTAAATTGCACCTGGAAATTGTCTGGGAGCCAGTACAGTTCCTTCAGCCCAAGGGCAATATATTCCCTGCAACCTACTGCCATTATCAAATGGCCCTCTATTTTGTCAACCAATTAAGTTTCTGGAAGCCTCATGTAGAGCCCATCACAGTTGCCCAACCTGGAGGTTTACCAAGGCTTGTATGACAGTGGCCCCGGGTCACCATTCTCCAGAAGCAGCTGTAGCTAATGTGTTAACTGAAATGGGTAAAAGGCACTTTGGGCTCCAGATGTTATGTTTGGACTTTAGGACCAGAGCTGGGTCTAGGTTCCCTGCAAGCTGGGAAACTGATTCTTTAGGGGGGCATTTTCCCTTCTTTAGCTCAGAAACTTGCTTTGAAGATTGTTTAGCAGTGTATTTCCCACATTAGTAGAGACATAAATTTCCACTTTTGCTTCTAGTGTGTTAGTAACCAGCCTAATGAAAAGTTCTGCAAAACCCTAACACTTGCATGCTGTTCTACTTACAGAATATTGTTACTAGATTTTGTGGTCTTTTGGAAGGCATATGATTTGTTTTTTCAATTGAAAATGCAGGCATAATTGTGGTTTGCCATTTACCTTCTTGGGGGGAAATTTTTTTGGGGGGTGGTTTGTTATCATCAGTTGCCTGGCGAGCTGTTACATCATTATCCTACTTTGCTTGCCTCTCAGTTTCTGTCTGTGCCGCCAGCTGTTTCTTTTTTTTAAGAGCATGCAAAAAATTTCACAGACGGGGAGGAGAATGCTGAGGGCAGCAGCTCTTCCAAGACATCTGCTGTTCTTGGGTTTCCATTCTAAATCCCTGCATCTCAGAGGCCACTTGATAGAGCAGGCTGATAAGTTCTGTAGGTGAACCTTGCATTTTGTCAGGGTCTTACACTGTAGGAATCTCTGGAGCACAAAGGCTGAGACCTGGTGAGCTACCTGCAGTTGTGGGTGCCCAGGCTTAGCAATGCTCTTATGTGCAAAAGCTTGTATGGGCATGCAGCCTCTCTTGTTTGTGCATTTGGCAGATGGTATGAAACTTCTGGCTTGGCCCCACCTGGCATTTATTTTAAATATTTATATCCTGTGCATTGAATAAAATATTTCTGACACATCTTAAAACATTCCTGAAAAACAGCATCAATAAATGAAAAGTACCAATAAAACTAGCTTTCTATTATAAAAACAGCAAAAGAATAAATGCAGCGATAAAGAAAACGTAAGTGGTATCATAGTCGAAAGCCATTTGTATCTATGTAAATTGAACAGCCACTTAAGCCCTAAATAAAAACAGAGATCAAACAACACTTCAGTCAGAGAGGGGGAAGGGTTTGGAAAAATAAAAATGGTTTGGCCTGATATCTAAAGCTTTGGTATCAGGCAAACCTCTGTTCTAGAACATTGCGGCCACAGTTGAAAAGTCCCTGTTCCTCGTGCTTGCCTTGGATAGATTTTAATCACTGGCAAGGTTTGCATGTGGGGAAATGGTCCTTTGAACACTAAGCACTTGTTCTAGTGCCCTTCCTAGTTCAGTAAAGTGCCATTCAAGCCCCAGCTTCCTGCATCTGCCCGCTCTCCAGTCTCAAGGGCCTCATGCAGACCTCGACGCCATTTGTCTTGGTGGCACAGCAGTGCAGACTTTTGAAGACATACATGTTGGCACCAGTGCAGATGAGATGTTTACATGCAGATGCATCTAATGGTGATGGTAGTATAGTATGTGTGTGTGCTTAACCCTTTCTCTGTTGGCTGTGTTTTAAATCACACCACAGCTGCTTCCAATGTATACAAATTCTTGTGTACGTCCATACACACACACACACACAACCAATAGGTGGAGAGCTGCTTTGGAAAGTGACTTTGAGCAGAAATATGGCCAGGAGGGAAAGGGTTAAAATTGCAGCCACTGGAGGTTACTTTTCACTAAATAAAATCGAACTGCTTAGGCTTCACTGTGTGCATTTGAAAAATCAGTCAAGGAACCTGACAGCCATTGTGTCCTGGCATACGTCCACGGCTCATGTGTCATGCAATTAGGATGAAAAAGGAGAGTCTGAGGGCCTGCTAGAAATATCCTACTAAGCGTACGTGGGAGTGCACAGCAGCTTCTTGTAGTAATCATTAAAGCTTCCATTTAGCATCCTTGTGCAACTGGTGACATGATTTTGCAAACCAGCCCATGCTGTTGCTTATAATTTGCTCTGTTGCTGGGATCTTGCT